CATTTGCAACACAGAAACTGACACATTTTTTCTCATCGATTTAAAATACCATATCAGCCCAGCTAGTAGTCTAAAAAGTAATAATATTTGTGCTAGTAGGAAGGATTAGATATAGAAGATATGGTTCGAGGAAAAAAAATTGAAATCGTGAAATAATAAAAATGTATAAAAAGTGTTATAGACATTTAAAATTTAAGTAAAGATAAAGACTAAATCTCTTGCGTCGTACACCCCTATAATGTGGTGACCAGTTTTATTTACACATACTTTCAATTAATCTCAAATTATAGCGTTGATATCCATTACTCTGTGTTAAAAAGAGAGTTTCTTTAAAATTATTATGATTGTTAACTAACTGCATGGTAGAACACTGCATCTTACTAAAATGAACCACTTCATAATCGTTTTACTGAATGTGTTTTCCTCATGGAGTTTTGTTCCTCAACTCAATGAATTCATCATTTCAATGATAGTTACATATTAGATATACATATATACCATTTTTTCGCATACATTTTAGGCTACATCAGCATTGGATACAGCAACAGAACGCAATATTCAAGCTAGTTTAAATCGTATTGCACAAAATCGTACCACTTTAATTGTTGCACATCGTTTATCAACAATAGTTAATGCAAATGAAATTTTAGTTCTACATGAAGGTGAAATTGTTGAACGTGGTACACATTCGGAATTATTATTAAATCCCAAAAGTCGTTATGCTCAATTATGGCGTCAACAAAGTGAAGTACAACAACAATCATCAACATTCTCCTCTACATCATCTTCGTTATTGTTACCAATTATTAATGAAAACACAGAAAATGTATCCAATCCAATAAATAGAACAAATCAACTTGTTGATGTGTAATATTTTCAATTTAATATTTATATAGGAAGTTAAATCCAATTCTGATATATCGTCATAAAATACTTTGACATCATAAAAATTAGTCATTATTGTGTACGTATATATATATATATAAAGATTAGATAAGCTTTCACTGTTACAGTAACTAGAGAAGAAACATAGTAGTGGTAGTATGTCATCTTTGATATCATCTACGTCCATTTGTAATGTTTCATTTTTTGTTATTTAGAAAAGCTTTATCTAACTCATCGTATATAAATTGTAAGTGCATACACTCATATAACTAGTTACACTGTAATTTCAGTAGATATTTTAACAATTACCTATATATATATATAAAGTATATATTTTGTCAAAGTTCCTATGTTTATTGATTGTTCATTAGTAGTGAATATATATTTCATGACATCTGTAAATGGGAATTTTTTCCACTTTTTATCTATACACTAAGCATACTGTGTCTGCCTTATTATATATATAGTCGTAATGATAGTCAATAAATTTAGTACTGTTTAGACGGCTAGTCGATATATATATAAGAATAAATTTTAAAAGCATAAATGAAATAAATAGGCATAGGATCTCAATTAAATCGTTGAAGTGAACATACTAATACTGTGACTATAATCGTCATTATGTACAAACTTTACAATTAATTATACATATAAATAAAACCGTTAGAATATTCATGGTTTAGTATAAATCATTACAGTGATATGTTTTGTCATAATTTTCAGTAGTATTAAATGTAAACATTCATTTTATAAGTTTCAGAAAATTTAGAAAAACATTTAAGTAATAAACGCCAAAGGTGTAATGAATTTACATCCAATACATTTCTTTAGTTCACTGTCTTTAAATAAGTCCTATTGAAGATTTATGAGTGACTGGTACTTCTTAGTTTCTCACAACTGTGAAAACATAGTTAATTCTTATTGGAATCTATAAACAAATTCACTTTAGTATTGATATTTTCTGTGACATGAGAATTCAGTGCTCAAAGAACAACTGTCCAAGGCCGATCACACGAGTAATTAATTGCTTTTTGTCGTATTAACTCTAGACTATTCAAGCCTTACCCCCAGGTACAAAGTGATCACACTAATACAGACATAACTCATCTTTATCTGCATCTGAATATTAAATTTTAATATCGTTCCATACGTTTTAGCTTGACATTTCATTTGGTCTTCTCAAAATAAATTACTAAAGTTTAATTTATGCTTTAATGACACCAATATTTTCGTCTCACATATTTTTCACCTTGTTAAGTCTTTCTCGCTGTGCATACCATTTTGAATCGATACAAATCTTTCCTTGCTTGTATATTGTTTCTCACTGGTTACCTTTAAACACAATACATTACTTCTAATGTTTACCAACTTATCATTAAAACTGCATTCTTTTTTTTACTGTCTACAATTGATACTGATTAGGAGTCGATACTATTAATTAATCAATGACTTAGTCATGAAAGTCAACGAGTGTATTCATGTTCAATTGAATTTCTGCTAACAATTGAACAAGCTGAGGCGTTAAGTCGCAGTACAAAAGAACTTTGTAAATATTGGAAGGATTTTGACCAGGTTTTGTACGATGCACTGGATTCAACTTCCGAATGGAATGATGCCGTTCAGCTCTAAGTTTTATGAGGAATAAGATATTTACTAGAAAGTAGAAAAACAACTCGTTTGAAATTACTTGTTATGTTATTGTTGCCTTAACGAATGTAGGGACTGTTTTATTATTTCCAACGTTTGTTTTCCTTAAATCAGTCTTCGTTAGTTAATCAGAGCAAAAACCAGTCTTTCTAATCCTTATTGGATTCTGTTGATCAAGTTGCAGCTTGACGACTAGTCTAAGTAACTCCACTTTGCGTGGTTTTTTTATGTTAGGTGGTTAGAGGAAGTCAGTAAATAACTCTCAACTGTGGTCTTACGTTAGTCGGTACTCGTCAACAAGGTGGTCTGAATAACTCGGTGGTTACGCTTCAAATGATGTGGCATGACGGCATCGAAGCATTGGCGATGTCAACATCATTTTTTGTTATTGACTGTTGATTGTAAATTTAAGACTTTTTTGAATGCTATGAAATCTTAACAGGGAGCTTTTTTGATATCGGCCAAATATGTTACACTATTGGATCGCTCGTTTTCTAAAGTAAAATTATTGTTTGGTCCGAAAGCTAAATAATATAAACACTAGAGCTGTTTATATTTTTCATGTTTCTTAATCCATCAAAGCAAATTACTTCTTTCGTCACGACAACGATAACATGATAAGTAATTTCAAACGAGTTTTCTTTATTTTTTAGTAAATATTTTATTCTTCATAAAACCTAGAGCTGGACGGTATCATTCCATTTGGAACTACAACACCAACCTTATATTTGGCAATTTAATAAATTAATATTAATACATTTCAAAATCAATACCACTTGGAGTCATGAAACCCATACCAAGACTTGACCTGTCTTTTCCTGTAGATGGTTCCAGTCAACAAAATCCATATACAACCAACCTATCTTTTCGGTTGCTAAACAGTTTTGTACTTACTCCAGTAGAGTATTTATATCCCTAAAAAATTATTTGAGCCCTTTGTTATACTATTTTTTTCAAACAGCTAATACCTCAATCATAAACGTACCATTAACTCCCACAATCAAGATCCCGTTTTATATAGAATGTCAAGTCTCGAACCTTCAGACAGTCATTTTATAAACTGCTTGCAGCTGATGATTGATTACACTTTTTAAATTTCTGTAAAGGCTTAGATTTCGCCAATATGATATTCAGTGACTGGTTAGAGCTAGTCAATCCCTAAGTACTTTTAAATAAACCTTTTTATGTCCACCCAACTCCACAACTAAAGATCATATTACTTACGCCTGTTACCCCTCGTAAAGGAGCATAGGCCTTCCACCAGTATTCTCCATCGAACTCTATCCTGGGGAATCATTTCCAGTTGCTACTCATCCTTTTCGTGTATGCCCTTTGATGATTTTCTCAATGTATGTCCCATCCAGCTCCAGCGTCTTTTTCTCCTAATTGTCTCTTCAGATGGAGGTTGGTTTGTTCTCTGCCATAGTAGGTTGTTGCTGATGGTATCCGACCAACGGTCATTGAGTATCTTACGTAGACAATTGTTTATAAATACCTGTACTTTTTTATGGTTGTAGTAGTTCTCCAAGTTTCAGTTCAGTACAGAACTGTCTTAACATTCGTACTGAAGATTCTGACTTTGATGCTGGCTGACAGTTGTTCGAGTTTCATATGTTCTTCAGTTGTAAAAATGCTGTCCTTGCTTACTCATCTGCATCGGATTATCCTTATTCGTCGATGATGGATCGACAAAAGTTTGAGAGACTTAACTTACCAATTTAAAAATCTTTAGTCCTATATTATTGAGAGGCAATCTGTAAAGCTGAAGTACGTAACCTTTAACGAGAATTTCCGTTCAGTACTTTTACCACTAGCAGTCTAGAAGTTTTTCTGTCTGTTTTAACTGATATCATGGGACATACTAACAACGAGTAGAAAATACAGATAAAGTTTTACATCGACTCAAATTAAGCAATATTTTATCCAGACCGAGTTTCATTCACACCATAGACGCATTATCGGTGTCTTTGTTTTCCGCCACAAGCTTGAATATCGTAATGCCCACTATGGGTACGGAATTCCCTTTCATCTTGACATTGAAAGTCCTATTAATACACTGAAAGCGTTTTTAAGATGCACTCTATGTAGCGTACATGCATAACATTTGCCAATCATCCCAAATTAAGTTAATTTGGGTACTGTTGTCCAACTTATCTCGATATCAATCTAACTCTGTCATGAACAGTATTCCAGAGAGAATTGTGGAGAAATTGCATGCTGGTGATGTAGATCTGTCATCTTAAACAGGAAACTGTCCATGTACTTCCTTTAGGTGACGTGCAGTTGGAAAGAAGTAAAAGTTCGCGTGCCAGTATAACTGACAAAAGCGATTCTTTATACATTGAGCTTAGTAGTGTTCTAATTTAAGCCATATTTGATGCCCCTGTGATGTTAATCTGGTTTTTAAAAGGTAGTTTACAGTGCCTTGGTGTCAATAAACATAGTTTACCCTTACAAAACCTGATTCTAAGCTGGAGATACTCGATGTCTGTTTATTTGGTAATCGTCAAATTCGTAGCACTAATTATGTATGGTGGCGACCCCAACTGCTTGAAGTAGTTCGAATACATTATTTGAGTGCTTACATACTACCAAAGCAAGTAGTAATCCATACATCATGTAAAAGAAAACATCACATGAAATAATAATGTTTATATCCAGAACAAGGTGCTCTGTGTGAACTAGTGATCGTAATCATAATTATTTAGAGAAAAAGAAAAAGCAAAAACAGTCAAAACTTGGAAAGGGACAAACAAATATGATTAATAGTAATAATATAAGTAATGCCGCTGGAGTGATAAAAAGTGTATAAGTATGCGTGCGTATGTGTTGATTAGTGGCATTCAAAAGTAAGAAATAAAATAATGATGGCGCTAAAAGTGATGTGCAGAGTAGTAAAAAGTAAGAATAAGCTTAGTAAAAGTTTTAAAATGTGTTTCAATATTATGTATAATGTAGGCTACTCAATATTTTTTTTAAAAAGACAATCGAAATAACGGTAGATCACTCAACATCGAGTTAGTTACAATAAAAAAAGTAAAAACAAATTAAGACAAACAACACATTGTCATACATTGATGAGCTATTCAACTTTCCCTCAAGAATAACGAAAGGTATAACAAAAGTACCTACTTACCTAAACTGAGTCATATCATGTTGCTTTTTTTGTTCAATTCTTTAATCAGTGTTTATTTAGTTGTGTAGAAAATTTGATCTATATTTCAATATGCGATAAGAAAGTCAACAAACCCACCAATCACATAACATATTATTTATCCAACTATCACAACTGTAAATTAAAAAGGCAACTGGAATTCATATTCCGTATAAAACAAAATTTCAAAATAAAACATTCCATCGAAAATCGAAAAGCTTAACATACAATTGCTTGGAGAAAAAACAAACGGACATTTGATTTTTTCCCTTTGTATTTATACTCATGAATAGACGGGTGGGTAGATGCGCTTGTGTGTAACAATGGATCAGAAAGAAGAAAACCAACTGCTGTACGTTTATTGCAGCAAGAAAAGGAAATGGCTTTCAGGTTGAAAGCCTAGAGGCACCAGTATTTTTAAAAAAGACTAAAAATTAGGTCTAACTTTCGTCTCCAAAAAAAGAAAGATTCACATTACGGCAGGGCCTCCAAACCAATCAGGGTCGGTTTCTTCTAAAGCCATTAAATCGGGACTAAGATAACCAGCACTAACATTTCGTGAAGGTATTGCAGGTGAAGAAATTGAAGCAGCGTGTGTTTGTTGATCTAAAAGTGATGGTCTTAAGATACCTTGGTTATCTTCGTGAAACGGCTTGTATTCTGAAGGTGAAGGATTTAAAAACATATCACCACCCGGACTTAAATAACCACTTGAACTTATACTTCCGACACATGACCTGCGTGGCACCACACTCATTCCAGTGGGCAAAACGGGATTAGATCCCTGTAACTGGTGAGTATTGTCAATATTCTGAACAGATGAAGACACAAGTGTTGGCCCCACAGAATATATATTTCCACAACCCACAAATCCAGTACGACTTGGTGAGCGTATGTTGTGGTATAATTTTACTGGTTGCAGTTCAGAGTACGTTCCAGATGATTGATTATTATTGCCATTATAAATACAATTTGGATCGGAGCAAGTCCCAGGAGGATCACAATCACCCCAGTAAGAGCAACAATCATTGCACACAGAACCTAAATTGACAAGGGGATAAAAAAAACTAACAATTATGACAGCATAACTACACAATTACTTTAAAAACAAATGACCTCCTTCCAAATTTTCATCAACTTTGAGTGATTTCCGTACAAACCATCTCAGAATATATACTCTATACGGTCAGAAATCCCATCTTATTTTCGTATGGAAATCATATATTAAAACGGTTCACATGCTAGCTCACTTTTTACAAAAGTAATTTCAATAGAAGTAACAGTGATTCCGATTTCGGAACATGTATGTCATTTAGAACAATCATTAAAAAGTTTAACTCAATTTTTAAAAGTACTGACATAATTATCATTAATACGTTTCCTAATTTTAAATAGGCACAAAAACAGCTTGTTTTTTGTTGACTTTCTATCAATGAACCAAATAAGTCATTATTCTTAAATACAGACCCTCATCTCTTAGATAGGATTAATGGAAAACTAGTTACTATAATTGAGAACTAAGGAGATAAGCCTGGAGTGGCAGACAGAAACAGTGCAGACTATAACATTATTAAGACTGTTATGTTTCCATGCAGGGGAAATCAACAATGAAAACATTTATGGTTTAGCACTGGTTTGAAAATAAGTAACGTTTACAAACGTTTGTAAAACGTTAATTAGCCTGCTAAAACTTTTATAACCAAGCCTACACGAGATGCAACAGGTAGGCACAAACAATATATGACGTGGTGCAAAAGTGTATCAAAGTCGCCACACGCTATATTAGTACAATGAGATCCGTCAGGAAATGAAAAATCAAATTAATACCAACCATAACTAAGTTTCAGCGCTAAGTAAAGACAGCAGTTATGATCGAGTACATAAAATGATAACTAAACAAACTACTTACCTTTGCAATCAGGTGGAAATGGTCCAAGCATCTCCATCAACGAGTTGGAAGGACTACCACATGTGTTTCCAGATTCTTGAGGATGAGTTTGTAAGGGACCATGGTTCCAATTCCCATGATGAGTTAATGAAGGCATTTCAGGATGCAGAGTGCCCCCCGGATGAACAGTAGGCACATGATAAACTTCTCCTGTATCCATTGGTAAAGGTGGGGTATTTAGCGATTCTATATGAGATGAAAAAATGTACGGGTTGCTGCCTATACCCCTACGCTCTTCAGCTAGTCGGATGACTACTGCAGATGCATAAGTTGAGATAGCTTCATTCCTAGAGCGAACCAGTTCATCGAACCTTGAGCCTGCTCCAGGTAAGGTGGCTAAAGCCTCAAGGCCATCACGATCCTGTGAAACCTCTGCGAGGACGCCTGCTGAGGCACGCTGGATGGACTCATGAGGCGAATGGAGAAGTTCGACGAATATCGCAAGACCAGAAGAGCCAGATTGAATACTTGGAGTTATACTTAAAGCTGGAGCCTGTACAACAAGAATGAATAAGTATTGAAATATTTTTAAGAGTTAAAGATGACTGAGTGAATGAAAGAGAAAAACAGATGACAAAGCTATACAAAAAGAATTGGTAGCCGATGATCATACACAAACTAAAGGAAAAGTAAACAGTAAAAAGCAGAAAATGTGAACAACTACTTTAAATAAAATGAACAATGATGAACAGCATACAATGCGAAGTAAAAACAAGACACTGTATATTAACTAGGAAAACTTACTACACTACATTTAAACGCCCCAGTTTAGACGTTTTTACATTTAACTTCAAAGTGACTTCGAAGTGTTACCGTGGAAGCTCGAGGTAAGCTACATTTTTTAAGGAGTTTAATACATCTAGATGAACTACTAATAACGCATTTTACAAAACTTATAAATGTTTGTATTAACGTAGTGACCACGACAAAGGACAGTGCATTTGTGCTATGAACTGAAGATATTACTAGACTTACAGGACCGAAGGAAGATAGGATTCATTTAGTCCGTGACTTAAAGGTCGGAAAGCCAACACCTAGATTATTGACGCATATGTCCAGGTCATTCGTTGAGTAAAAACTTAGTACGATATTGTACCAATGACTACAATTTCCATGAAACGTTTTTCTTGAAAAAATGTAAGCACGATAGCTCATTTGCAAGTTATTTTAAGTTATTATAAATTCATTTACATTTTATTAACTTCAACATAAACTATCGTTCAATTACAATATCTGGATGCTGTTGTAAACCAACCTTTAGAAGAGCTAGATAAGACCGAGTAGCATGATCTTTCGCTAGCATATGAAGTGCACCACAAATCCCTTCCACAATCTCCTCGAGTCTAACACTTTGCACTACCGTTGAGAATGTTGGATGAGTGGCAGAAACAGAACGCTAAAATATGAATGAAAATTTTTAATAACTTTAATTTGTAATAAGCAAAATTATAATAAGTTTGGCAACTCAAGGATGAAAATGTTATTGATTCAAATGAAATATAAAATAAATTGGTTATAAATTTCCGAATGCATAGACACTAGCATAGACCACTAGAATTAGTGTTGTTATGCGAACAAGCTTATACTGCAAAGGATAAACACACAAGATACCATTAGAAAATAATTCCATTCATATTACATGCCTTCCACTGTTCAGCTCTCCTAACATACGAAACAGCGGAGCAGTAGCACAAACAAATTTGAGTTCAAATCCTTTTCCAATTGCCTACATTGAGAAAACGGGTGACATCACTGGTAGTGCATATGACTCACAATCCAGGTGTACCACACAACTTGATACATGAAACCAGGAAGATTCGAAGATTTGTGGTAAAACAACATCAACAGACGTTTGCTACAAGTATATTAAATATCAACAAATATCAGTAGATCAGAGTTTTCAACTGAGTCAAGTGGACAAAGCAAACTACCTGGTCGGGGTCCGCACGGAAACCGTGATCGGTGACTGCAGATTTGAGTGACATCACTCAGTATCGGTTGCGACGGCGCGGATGCATTCAGTCTTTATTCATCTTTCTCTCGATCTAGAATTCCAGTATAGCTTCATGCATACTTTTCCACTGTCTTTTCGAAACATATACTCAATATTCAGTTCGTCCCACTACCACTGCTGCCAAATTATTCCTCTCTTTTGCTATTCATCTCGTCATACTAATGTAGTATGGTAATTTGAGACAACTCCCATCTGTTCCAGGCTCTACATTTACGACGACTAACCGACTGAATTATAGAAGGGGATTTTGATGTCCAAGTAGGTAGTCTAAACAAAAATAAAACTGTTGAAGATACCTTATCCCCGAGTAAAACGTATAAGCAGAGAAATTATGATTTCCTATGTCGATTAAAGTGATTTTCATTCAGCGAACTTTCAAAACATTTTCCGTCATATTAAATTATTCAGAGTTAACTATATTCGTTGACTCCCAGTGTAATTTCAGTTGTAATTGTTTATTGGATTGTATATCTATTTCCATTTGCATTGATTGTGTCAGTGTGATTTTGTGTCATTAGCAATAATTGGGTTGATAAGGAATTTCAATCATTGAATTGATATGTAACTGGACTAACATGAGTGCGATTTCAATTACTTATGTGGTATAGATCAACAAAGCTTCAGTATAAACTGGACTGTTCCTCTAATTAGTGGGCAGGGAAGAAGAGGACAGCAGAAGTCTTCTCCACGCACTAAAGTTGGGGTTATGAAGTAAGTAGCTAGTGTATGAATGTATCATAAAAACTTAGACCAATCTAGAGACGTTTGAGTACAGAGAAGAAATAACAATAACCATTTTGCTGCGACTATGTTCAGATAACCATATATTTCAAGAAAATACCAAAATTAGTCTCACGTGACAAATATCAAAATCGACGGACGCAAATAGGCCATATTACCATCAACCATCGTTAGAGAGGCCCGATACACGGCTGCTGCTCGTTTTTAAAGCACATCATTAGACTCTGATCATACTCTAGTGAGAACACGTATCTGCCTGTCTTACGGTAATATATATCGGTGACTTAAATAAAAAAGCTAGAAAATACAATTAAGTTTCGGTGTCATTTACTGAAACAGACAAATACCCCGGGACTCATCCCAGCAACGAACACGATGAAAAGAGATGGCTTAGACTGACAAAAAGTCTACGCAATCACTATCAGTATTAGTGGGAGGCGAAATCAAGGGACAGAAAAGGCCGTGGTGATAGGTAATAATAAACATTTCAGAATTATCAAAAAGGAAAGTAGTACAGTTAGATTACCGAAATTATGACCCACTCTAAGCACAAACCGTAAGAGTGGGGGGGGTGAAACACTTTTAATTACAATTTAACAGATTCGCAGTTACCCTCCAGTTGCCTACCAATAAAAAACAGCCTGGATGGGATATTAACATAAGTCTCTCGACTATCAATGTATTTGAAACAACCATAGCTAATCTAAAGCTAAGGATAACGATGAACCGCGATAGGCTAATTCTGGAGATTTCTTTGGATGGTGGTCCAGTTTTAGATGTTAGATTGCCTAGGACATAAGCTGCAGTTTCGGAACTGGACGTTATCCTAATTGGTTGGTCTCGAGGGCTGTCCAAGTTTTTGGAAGATTAAAATCTTCTTGCGACAGCCACAGAATAAGCTTGGCTAATATGGTGCACAAAATAATGTTTTCAGTGATTATCAAAACTTCAGAAAAGCCTGTGAACAGCGAATCCGAGAGAAACGAACCTAGTACCAGACCTGGAAGTGGGAGTACCGGTCAAATACTAATCCTTTCAGGTTCTCGAGCATGGACGTGCCTACCGACACTGAACTTTTGACTTTAATGTGGTATTCATCCGCAATACTTGACAGGTTTAACAGCAGCATTTATGGTTGAAGGTATACACCAAAGTACATAAAACTTGTAAAGGTTCTTTATTCGAAGACAACTAGTTGAATCAGAGCTTATGGCCAAATGTCATCAAAAATAATGATACCAAGTGATGTTCGTTAGGGTTTCCAGATTTCCCTATTTTTACTCTGTCATACATGCTTCTTTAGGGATAACGCTTCTGTCATCTGACTTTCCAAGGATTTATCACCTACCAGAAAGTCTACTTATTAACTTGAAATATGGAGGTGTTCGATGAAAACACTGACGAGATCTAGTATTCTGATCACCTGAAGCAACAATGTAACAGTGTTTTAGATCCATTTCTCTCTCTCTCTAGATCAAAAATATTGTTTGGGAACTGGTCCGCAGTAACAATATCCGGTGAAGTAGTTGCGTACATAGACCACTTCAATCATCTTGGAAGTCTCATCAGTCCTCGTGGGTTTGCATCGGAAGAAATATCAGTACGGATCTAGAAGGCTCACTTGGATTCTGATAACTTCCATCACCTATGGATCAGGTGACATGTCCATCTGCCAATCGGATGAGTATACTGTCCAGCAATTTACTCCGTCTTAATTTACGACCAAAACATGGCTCTCAGAGACAACGGGAATTAGTGTCCGAACATATGTGTCTTTTAAACATTCTTGCATATGTTTTGACCACCAAGTGATCAATCCTGGTGTTAAATGTAGGGTACTGAGTAGACATGGGGTTGTGAATCTTCGTCGACTAAGCTGGTAGGAACACATGCTGCTTATGCCCAACAACTGGCTACCTTGTTACGACACGTGATGTTGGTCGATGTAGGAATAGGTTGGGAGAGTGGTAGGAGTGATCAAACTAAAACCGAATAAATCTATCGAGTCGTCAACCATTAGATGTAGCCGTCATACAATTAATTTTTCCTGAAAGCCAAGCACATACATTTGTACGTGACAAATGAGATACACATACAACTACTGGTGGGTGTCCACAACCATAAAAAAACACCAGAACATTTATTTGTGACTTCTCCAAGTCCTCACAAAATATCTGCGCCACAGATACCACAAACTGTTAAAATAATAATTAAACCTCATAATGATCACAACCAATACTTTAAATGAACTACAAGTCCTAGCAAATTAGTCCTCTTGTTGAGATTTTATACAAGGACAAAAAGCTTTGTTGAGTGAAGTGAAATTACTTCATTTGCTCTAAATCTACAAACACCACCACAAAACTGTTTTATAAATCTGACTATGTGTGAAGCACAAATTCTTGTTGACATTTAATAAGCTGAGGATTGAGGGGACACCAAATGAAATAAATTCACCTTTCCCCATAGTTTATTGTTCTCGTTTTACAAAACCTTAGGGTCATGTTTATTATACTCCCAGGATATTAATAAATAAACAGAGGCACTCACTCTAATTATTTCATATTGCGTTGCATAAAGTAGTAAAAACAAACCAGTGACAAGCCCACATTCACGCATACCATAATGACTATCTAAGGTGACAGACAGATTGCGCAAAAGGCCAACCATAGCTTTAACAAGCATCCACGATACCACCGGATTCTGAGGATGCTGACAGACTAAACCAAGATCAGGACAAATACCAGCAGTTGCTGCATGTAAAACTCGAGCGATAATCGGCAAACCGTTGAGTTCATGAACCAAGGCATGTCTTGCTGTTTCTTCCTCTTCATGACGGCTTGTTAAATGCCTTAAAGCGCACATACATGGTTCTAGGATATCTTCTTTGACAGCAGGTTGACTGACCGCACGCAAAAGCGCCTCTACGCCACCCATCTGCAAAATTACGTTTAAATTTATTGTAAGACCTTACCTTAAAAACGATAAATTTATTTGCGTGGTTATTGCACGTTAGATTGGAGAGGATTCCCGCTGCGCATGTAATCATACTGCTATCACCACAATCCAATAAACGGACCAATGAGTGTAACAAAGGCTGGAGATTATCCATTTTTGTCGCAGCATCGGATAAATTGCGAAGTGCCCAAAGGCAGTTTAATACTAACCGGTGACTTGAACTATGTAAGTGCTTTGCTAAAGCGTCCATTCCTCCAGCAACAATAATAGCCGGCTTGTTACTAGCACACACGCTTAACACTTTGAGAACTCGAGCCGTGGTCCAAAGTAACTTTTCATACTGATATGTTCTTAATATTCGAACCAGTTCAACGGGCCCACCGCTGCAAAGAATTTGCAGTTTACTTTCCTGATGACCATAAGCCAGTATTTGTAGACAATCAGTACATATGGTGAGAAACTTAATGTTATTTTTCCGCAATAAAGCAGTCATCTTTTGTAAACACCCACTCTGTCTTACAACGGCTTTCGCTCCATCTTGATGAAGTAGAAGATTGTGTAACGTCGTTATTGCATAGAACAAAACTGATTCTACAGGTGAATTCAAAAGCTTAACAAGAGAGGGGATACATTGTGCGGCAAATATTGCCTAAAGATCGAGTCAGAAATACAAAGCACTTACCTTGAGCCCAGGTTGCATCTGCGAAATGTTATATAATGTACCAGCAAGAAAACGAACTGTTTCTGGATCTTCTGTTCGATCCAGAGCAGATATAATACAGTCTATCATATCTCTCGACTTTATAAGGGCATCGATAGCTTCCGACTTGCTCAATTGGAAAACCATCATTGATGACTGGTAAATAATAACCTGGTCATCTTCATCTTTGATCAGTTTGACAAGTTCTGGTATGGCTCCTGCAGCCTCATCGGTATCAATTTCTGGTAGCTTGTTTCCTCGTAGATCAACGTTACTTGCAGAGTGAGAGCCACCAACATCACTTAAGGAGTCAACGCCTAGAATGCTACTTGTACTAGGTGTAGCTGGAGACAAAAGACAAGAGTCCGACGGGTTAACAGAAAGTGGAAAAGATGACCAATGAGGTAAATGACCTGGTTTTTGAGTTAAATAACGATCGTCTGCTTCAGAGTCATCACATTCTACCTTGCTACTGATACTTGGTGTATGGGTCCCAACAGCGCTGTGAATGCCAGAATCTGAGAGATAATTAGTTTGCTGCCACATCTTGACTCGGTGACATTTATCGACCATCTGCGTAGGAACACTATCCGCATCTGCAACCTGATTCATAGTTAACCCTTGACTGCCACCTAAATTGCAGGTCTGCACATCTTGGAGTAAGCGCGTGCTAACAGAATCCATATTTATAATGCATTCATGCAACGAAAACGCCTAAAGTACGAACTCGAAAAAGTAAACACAACATCCGAAAGATGCGCCTTTAGTTTCAGTTTCAGTTTGGGAAGGACAGTACGCTTGATGGCCTATGTTAGTCCTGGCATCTTTTGGGATAGATTCGAGACTCGTCTTCAACTTTGTTTGAGAAATTAACAGCTTGTGTCTGAATAGTTTTATTGACGTTACTTCGATAAAATATAGGGAAAAGTAGTTCAGTTAACACCAAAGTGATAAGGGGTAATGCTTAGAGGGATTTCTTCCAGTTCATACAGAATTGAGGTTATCATCAACTCTTCTATCAAAAGACTTAGCAGAATATGTCATCACCGTAGCAGTTGATAGGGGTTTCTACAACTCACTTATTCGTACTGCAGGGCAAGTGAAATGTCATTAAGCCCTGGCCAGATCATCCGGCAGTTGGAACACTGAATGTCGAACAGATCATCGCTCCCTTCCAAGGCCAGGTAAAACCAATGCGCATCAGTTAGTCGTATGCCATGGACTGGCCCATGTGGCAGTGGCCTCACTTTCGCTTGTATCTACTTTAACTAATATATTTCTGTAATAACGTCCTCTGTGTTGTACAGTCTTCAAAGCATCTATGGTACCTTGATACGTTGATGGGGTAGTCCACGTAAGGTGCTGACCATAGGGTGTGACTTCGACATTAGCTAGTCTGTCACATCATTCACGTCTAACTCGAGTAGGCCTCCAATCATTTCGACATAGATCATCTACGTTGGCGATCTAGAGTACTAAAAGAAAAATTGATACCTATTTCCATCTATTTTGTAACGGTCAATAAATCCCCAAAAGAATACTGTTATAAGTCTTCGACATTTATCTGTATGCGTAACTTCTTTCTCGTGTTGCAAGTTATCTCCAGCCACATTTAAGCACACGATAGACCCATTCTCTAAACCATTACTATTTATTTTCTTTGATGATAACTTTTTCGATCCCAATAAATCCCTGGTGAGAGCTTATGGGAACCCCCCCCCCTCGAAAATTAAATTAACCTTTCAGGTCACCCATTTAAATGATACTCGCTTAATGAATAGATTCTATAGAAGTCGATTTCATTTAAAGGTAGTATTCGTCTCACTTTGCATACTTTGGGGTACTATTAAAATCTACTAAGTACCGTACAGCTGGTTCTCTCTAGTATAAGAATATTTAAGCTTGCGTACCTACGACCAGTGAATAAACGCGGCACCATCAAAGCTCGTGGTTGATGACTAACCACTAAACTGCTAGTTTGGGACCTGATAGTACAAATTTCCAACTTTAATCAGTTCGCAATATAGTACGACCACCAGTAAGTATTACTGATTTGTGACGACCGTCTCCAATGATATTCACCGAGAATGGTGAAATTCGATTAAGGGTTAGTTTGTGGATCAGAACTATTGAGGAATACAATAATAAGACAAAACAAATACCAAGTGCTTGCCAATTTTTAACGATACCGAAAATGAGTCCAATATATATAGTAATACCATATTCTAATAATTACTGATGTTTCGAAATTAATGTCAACACTATTCTGGTTGGCGTTGAGTAATTCCAAGTTATTACAACTGTACGAAAAGCGTATCACCAACACTGGACTGTCACATGAACATTTTGGTCATACTTAATGAATAAAAAAACGTGATGCAAAATGGTAAACACTAGTTAAACCCCAATTAATTTCCAAATGTATTTAAATGTTCCTTTAAAAAAACAACAGAGAAAATAGAGTTAGTAAGGGAATTTTGTGTTAATCAGTGCTTCCAGGTTTTCCATGGTGGTCTAACTTCAATTCTCACGATCTCAACTATTCAAATTACTATAATATCCACAAAACCCCTTCTGATATTAATTAATATACGTAGGATGGTATTCATTCCAACAATGAGGTCATAAGTTCAACAGATCTCTTGATCAATACCATATTGGATTGAATAGTTTTGTACAAATTGTAGCGGTAAATAAATCCCCAAAATAAATAGCACTAAGTTTTCGACATTGGATGCTGACCATATGTTTTAGTGGACTCATCGAGGAGACAGAGAAACACATCTCAAGCATCTGGATCTTGTTTTCGAACGACTACAAAAACATGGCATTACTGTAAATGTTCAGAAATGCCAATTCGGAACCGACTCATTAGACTTTCTGGGACACACTATCGATGCTCAAGATATCCGATACCATAGAACCAAAGTGGCGGCCATTCTGGATTACCCAGAACCTACCACCGTCAAGCAATTACGCACGTTTAACGGCCTGGTAAGTTTCTATAGACGTTTCATACCGAAATGCGCATTACTCATGAAACCGCTAACCGACCAACTTCGTGGAAATGCGAAATCCATTAATTTGGACGACACCGCACGAAAAGCATTCTCCACAGTTAAGGAACTGATCGCTAAAGCGACAATGCTCGCATATCAGGACACCGAAGCACCCATTAGTATCGCAGTAGACGCATCGGACTCGGCAATCGGTGGCGTCTTACAACAATGGGTTAACAATTCCTGGCAACCCTTGGCATTTTTCTCTAGAAGGTTGCTAGACACCGAATCGAGGTACAGCACATTCGGTAGGGAACTCCTAGCTATGTATTGTGCTGTACGGCATTTCCAACACTATATCGAAGGCCATGAATTCACTCTTTTCACGGACCATAAACCGCTCACTTTCTCGTTAAGCTCTACTTCTGACAAATACTCTCCCCGTGAGTCTACATTTCGCAGTTTACTTCAGATATTCAACACATTTCTGGAGCAAACAATGTAGTTGCACACGCCTTATCTCGCATAACTTCCTTGAACAGTTTCCAAGGAATCGACCTTCTTAAACTCGCCCAGCTTCAAAAAGAAGACACTGATCTTCAGCACGAGTTATCGTCTACAACCCTTAAACTACGCATCAAACAGATGGGAACAGGTAACGAAACCTTACTTTGTGACACATCTACAGGTAGGGATCGCCCAATCGTTCCGAAACATTATCGACGCAATGTCTTCAACACATTGCACAAACTTTCGCATCCAGGTGTTCGTGCAACCATCAAACTTATAGCAGAACGGTTTTGCTGGCCTGGCATGAATAAAGACGTGAGGGAGTGGGCACGCTCCTATGTAAGCTGCCAAAAATCTAAGGTTATCAGACACAATAAATGTCCTTTAGGCTCATTTAAAACTCCCGATGCTCGTTTCGACCATGTTCATCTGGATTTGGTAGGACCTTTACCAGATTCCAATGGATACTCTTACCTCTTAACCTGCGTAGACCGTTTCACTCGATGGCCAGAAGCAGTACCTATCAAGGACATCACTGCTGAAACAGTGGCCCGCACCTTCGTTGAACGATGGGTAGCAAACTTCGGTTGCCCTTCAACCATCACTACAGACCGCGGACGTCAGTTTGAATCCGATCTTTTCCGTCGTTTGACCACACTTTTAGGAATCACTCGATTCCGAACGACCGCCTACCATCCACAAGCAAACGGGTTGGTAGAACGTTTTCACCGACAACTAAAAGCTTCACTATCAGCTGCAAACGTTTCACAGTGGACCGACGCTTTTCCACTTGTCTTACTAGGTATCCGCAATGCAGTGAAAGCTGACATTGGATACACTGCAGCTCAACTCGTTTATGGAACGACACTTCGACTTCCAGGAGAATTCGTGGATCCTTCGTCTTTTTCAATGAACATGGATCTAACCTCCTACACGAACAGGCTTACAAACGCAATGCGTTTGTAGTGGCATTGGACAATAGCCACACAATACACAAAGCTGTGAACACGAGACTACTACTTCCACGTAAGATCTTATAGATTAGGCGGTTATATCATGACAAATCTGCAATTTTAGGATTAGGTCTATTATAAGGGCAGTACTAATATCATAGTAGACCATAATTCTACATTGGTGAGCCCAACTAAAGAAACGCAACCTATTATTGTTAATCCTTATTTCCACCTTAACCTTCTCAATCGGATTTTATTTTTGTAAACCCACTATTCTAATAGTCCTTTGATTAATGGTCACATATATTATCGTAATGTTATATCTATTAGTTCACATAACTTACTAGCTCATTCGATAATAAAAACTGGTCGTCTATATTAACTAATTAGCTTTGATGGTTCGTTAACAAGCTTTAATAGCATTTACATGTTTCAGCGACATAGGCTTGTTTAAGCATCAAGCTCTAGCAAATATGACCAGTAAATAACGCAAATATACATTGACTAACAATGCAGCAAGGACTAAATAGTTACCTGGATCTAATATTCAGTGTTCCTTATCTTATTACCTCATCCTGTTTTAAACTATACACTATCCTGTAATATCTTTTCTTCCGACCACTGCCTGCCTAATTTCAAATTTTCGAGTTCCATTGCCAAACAACAAGGATGACACTTCTCTAAAAACACGGTGAGTTTCAGCCATAAGTTTTCTGCAATCATAAGGTCATTTTAGATGGCTCGTTCAATGGTGACCGCACTATTAACGAAATCGGTCAACAAATTGACCTATAATTACCATTAAATGGTGTTGTTTTCTTGGTATCTTCATCCATCACAGATGATTACAGTATGTTTCTCTATTGGTTGCTCATTCAGTAAATATCTCAAAACCTTGTCAGTCTAATTGATGGTTTAGCGACACAATCATGCATGTAAATAATCAGTATAAGCAGTCGAGCAAATCTCCTGCAAACTGAAAACATTAATGTCGAATTTACCCCAACACTGACTAAGGTTCAAGCCATTATCATAGACATGAGTTGGGAGTGTACTCCCCTTGGTTACAACTTATGTACTCCCTGATAATCACATGAGCATCACTCACGGTTAATCATCTTGTAAAAACGTATTTGGCCGAGTACATCTTACAGCACCACATCACTTAGTAATGTGACATAGGCTTAACTGATTTCAGTAACTTATAATCACCATATCTCATTTAAATCGTATTCTGCCCGCATACGTGCAACTAACTTGTATTCCCATCAGCCGGCAAGTATAAATATAAATAAATAGTCTATCGCAGCTCAGAACATTGAGTCTAGAGCATGTCTCTTACGAACACACTCATGTTTAACTATTTGTTCCTAGCTATCTGTCCAAAATCCATATAATTATCACTCATGTATTTAAATTTTATTTTGATAACCATTCATGTGTATTAGTAGTATTACTAAATTCTATTACGGTCAAGTAAAAATGAGGTTGAGAAAATCTCACCGTAACTAAATAAACCGTATCAAACTAACTGGAACACTAGTTGGAATTCTTCTCCACGGTATACTTTTGTTCCTTCAGTTAGCCTACTAATACAGATGCAATTGGAATTCAACTCTTATGGACAACTTACCGGCATAATCGTTATCCGATTTCATAATTTAAACCAAAACTAATACCAATATTAACATTTCTACAATATTCATTATTTTAATATTTCTTAACACAAAATAATTACTGCCTATAAGTTAAGTTATTAACACGCATCGTTTTATTATTATTATTATTATTATTATTATTATTATTATTATTGTAATCCCATTTTTTACAGTTCAAATAATCTTCAACCAAATTTTCATTTTAAGCGTGTTAATCATGAAAGCAGATATTTTAAGATTATTACATGTATTTTCCGACCAGATGCTGCCGTCTTTTTTATTTCTTTTTCAGCTTATCAATACCTGGAGGATCCTTATTATCCTTGGTAACCTCCGGCGCGCGACGATCCCATCTAGTTTGGTATCGAACCAACTTCACGTTGATTCTGGTGGGAGAGTAGTGTAGTGGCATTGGACAATAGCCACACAATACACAAAGCTGTGAACACGAGACTACTACTTCCACGTAAGATCTTATAGATTAGGCGGTTATATCATGACAAATCTACAATTTTAGGATTAGGTCTATTATAAGGGCAGTACTAATATCATAGTAGACCATAATTCTACACGTTCAGTTAAACCTGCTTCCACTCGACCACAATCCACCGATGTTTTCGTTCAACCTGACTTACGATATAGTACACACGTTTTCGTTCGTCGAGACTCGCATCGACGACCATTCGAATCAGCATACGAAGGACCCTTCAAAGTTCTTCAACGTGAATCTAAGTACTATATAGTCGATAAGAACGGAACCAACGATAGCATCAGCGTCGATCGCTTAAAAGCAGCGTATTTAGAAGGAAATCCTATTCACGTCGATTTTCCTCCGGTACAATCGCACAACACGACTCCTACACTCATAATTCCTCAACCGACAACCAACACTAGCGATGATACTCCGAATGTATCTGAAAATATACCTAAAACGACGCGTTCTGGAAGAAGAGTAAGATTTCCAGAACATTTAAACGACTACTGCACGTAAGGCACTACTCGACATTTTATATTATCCCGATCTTTCTTTTTAACGATATATAATTTTTTTTTAAAAAGACAATTTTATTATGCCTATATATTTATATTTTTATTAAAAAAACAAAAACAGAACAAAACATAAAAAACATTTTTTTAACGCTATTACGTGTGCTTGAGTTTTTTTCCTTTTTTTCGCCGACATTGTGTTTTTACGCACATACGAGTGTATTTCGACATGCACTTACACATTCTTTTTTCTTTTCCAGGACGGCTGGAAAAGAACGATGCAGTTTACGAGGAGTCGAAATTTTCGTTGTAACTCTTTCTTTTTTTACTATGTTGTACCTCGGTCCCATATAGTAAGGAAAGACGACCAGACGCTGCTACACTTAGTAAGCTATCAGAAGAGTGTTTACCAACGACAAACTCGGGCTTAAACTTCTGGCTGGCCACGTCTTAGGGTCGTCACTACCCCACTAGGGGGGAGTGATCTGTAGTGGTAAATAAATCCCTAAAATAAATAGCTCTGTAAGTTTTCAACATTGGATGCTGACCATATGTTTTATTGGACTCATCTAGCTGAAGGCGCTCGGTCAGGCATCCGCACCAGATCACGTGTGTTAACGCCGTGCTCAACATCAACCGCAATCGCTAGCCAGATTAGATCGGCAAGGTTTAAACGTTAGGTCCTTTTGAAATGTGCCCGCCCTTTCGTTTCAACGACCTTGAACGGCTTGACTAGAGGCGGTCATTCCGTATTTCAATTGCCGTGGGTTGGTTGGATTGCATGAGTACCAAGTTTTTTCATATATAAGTCATGTTATGCTACATAAAAAAGCACGAAATAAATACCAAAACCATTAATTTAGCGTTCTCTGTTTTGTAGTGTACACGTTGGCTCTGTTGTTGCTTTGTAATTTGATCTTTGATCCCAACAACTGTAGTAAAGCTCAACGAAATGTCAAGTCACAGGTAAATCCTAAGTATTTGTAGTATTTTCTTGGGTTATTATTGTCGCAAGGAATAACCTTTTAATAATTAGTCATTTCTGTTTTTAGTGCTTCATGCTCAAGTGACATTTCAGTCGACCTAACCGATGCCTTTCGAAGTATGATACTGAACAAGCGTTTCGTCTTCTGGGATGATTTTGAAAGCGCCTTAAAAGAGTTCCAAAAAGTATGGAATTATAGTTTTATCGCTTCTCAGACTACTTATACTCGTTACATCCACACAGAGAGCAGATTGCTGAAGGATGTCAGGTTCAAATACCTGTTTGTATCGTTTAATTGTACGTTTGGTCATAAGAGGAAATCGGAAGGTTTGAAAGTGAGGCAAAAATCGTAAGATCTGTAACTAATATCTTATGTTTAAGGTCTAAATTCCGTAATTGTCAATCTAAATTTCGTGTAAGACTAGAGGAGCAAGGATATGTCATCAAATCCTACAACATGCTCCACAATCATCCATGTAGTAGTTCATGGATGGTATGTGATCCATTGACAAGGAGATTATCGTCAGAAGAAAAAGAGAACTTGAAGCCCGTAATACTTCACTGTGAGTCAGCAGATGAAGTTATCGAAAGCATTAAGGAGAGAACTGGTAAGCAAGCAACTGCTGCCGATGTCAAAGGTATGAAAGCTACACTCTCCACTGGTAAGTGTATATAAATATATTTCAGGTTGTTTTACTCGGAACCAGGTAATGGATATGCTTAGACAGAGAGGCGAAGTGAAGGAACATTTAGAAAATGGATATGCCACTAGAATATGTTTCAGTAGTTCTAACCAAATACAACTGTACAGAAAATATCCAGAAGTTGTGTGCATTGATTCTACGTATAATACTAATAATAAAAAGTGAATATGTTTATCGTTGTATTTTACTATGTAGATATTCCTTATTCCAGTTAGTAGTGACGGATAATTGCGGTCGAGGTCGAACTGTAATGTTTGCATGGACTCTAAGGGAAAAGCGTGCTGATGTTATATGGATTCTAGATCAATTCAAAGAGATAATGGGGGATACAATGTTGACTGAAACATTTGTGATGGACTGCGCAAGATGTGAAAGCGCGGCTGTCCGTATGACACACGGACATGCAAACATAATTTTGTGCGCCTTTCATGTAATTCGCGCTTTCCGGAAAAAGGTACACCAATGGTTACTTATATAATATTGCCCTTAGACAAACGACAAAATAATTAAAGCCTACTTAACTCGATTGGTAACTGCGGAGACGGTTGGAAGGTAATTTTAGTAATGTGTTTATTCAATAGATTTAATCAATATTACTACTTGCATACGTTAAAAGACGAAATCTTACAGGTAAGCTATATCAATTATGAAATACTAACTGCATAGCTCATCAACTTCTTAGGTATTGTAGCAGATGGAAGTTACATAATACCCAGAACTTCCAAAATTATACATTAACTGGATTAACACGACGGAGTGAAGTGTATATAAGTATTCAACGAAGTCAAAGAATCCATAAGCAACGCATCATTGAGAAGTATGGTGAACGTTTTGCAACGGAAGTTGAGAAGAAGGTGGACAATTATTACTTAAGAATTCTTAATACCAACTTGTAAACTTGATTTTTTGCTTTAGCATCAATGATTATTCAATAAACTGTCATAATTTTTATTTTCATCTTATTCCTAGTTTCATGGGAATAAATAGCAATGACGTTCATGTGTAACTGTTTGTAATAATTAAGAATGATTCAGAAACCCTACATCCACGTACAATCTTGCAGATTAGGCACCCACATATCATATTCACCTTCGTCGGATTACGTTTATAATTAAAATCGTATCAGTAGCTAAGATTTTAATTCCATGTGATTAGTTCCGCTTATGAATTAAAATGAAACCAGGATAAATGTTGATTAACAGTGGTATGCATTCGTTATAACTAAATATGCATTAGGATTTAACAGTGATGTGGGAAACAGTTGACATACCTTAATATGAATAATTGAAATGACGTGGGTTATCAATAATGACTAGATATATATATATATATATGCAGTTTAAGGTCAAAGGTCATTTGTTTTTACAGTCAATAACACATTAAGAATGGGTGGTGTAATAGTTGACTGGAGTTCACAGACAGATAAGTGGTGTGAAAATCTTATGGCCTATAAGTGATCCGTGGATTTAAGAACTGAAAACTTGGGTCACGTAATAACTTATTACAATTTGAAGAGGTCACATAATTACAGAGGATTAAGTGAGCAGATGTAAGTGACAGGGTGCTGGAATAAATCGGCAACTAAATTTTAAAAGTGAAATGAATTAATACATAATCCATCTTATTACTTGTTCACTCCATGGATTATAAGGAGTTCATATTCTTCTATATCTATATTTGTTCTAGCGTCATATCGACTATTAATAAAGACGGACACGGTTTATAAAGTAAGACAATAAGTGTAGTTGCTATATTTATATTTCACTAATTCATTAGTTGAATAAAAATGTTACTAGGCAATACGGAACACAGTTAACGTGAACATGTAAACCGTTTTTTAACAAATTCTGTAAGTTGTAGACCGGCGTAAACATCACAAACCTTTGACGACTTTATTGGATTCATACAATTCTGAAAAACAAACAAATCAGTTGTGAAATAAAGAATTAGACCCAGTTATAAGTATCACATTCAATAAGTACATCAAATAGCAGGTTACAGAATGTACCTATAAGTCTCTTATTTGCAGACAGCGCTAATCATTAGAGATTTCTATTTCCTTTAATAATAATTAATAGGTAATCTTTACAACACACAAATCAATGTTATTTAAAAATTGGCATAAACGAGATATGAATACAAGGAACTTGTGATTCTGCTTCCATTGCTCATTCACTTTTCGTCCCGTTGTCTGCATGAATTACTTCGGACGAGTCACTCTGTAATACAGTAGGAATTCATTAATTAACTCATGAATAGTTGTTTTTTATTCAAGTCTGTGTCGTAACAAGCACTGGGAATTTATTCAGTGTCTAACCCTTGTATTATTTCGTACATACATCTGGTATTAGCAAGAAAAATTGGTAAGTACCATTTAGATATTACTCGACAATATGCATCATAAGTTTGTTCACATTTTCGTCTGAGACTGTGCATTTCGTTTACAGAAAATTATTCGTCAACGCTATAACAGACACATCATGAATCAATATTAGGTACGACATGGTTTTGTCACCATGCTCAGAAGAGACAGCCATCGTTTCACTTATGAAGATTTTGTGCCTATTTAATGTGGTGTTATACACTGTTCCTGTATACGTTCAGAAAGCCGGTAAAAAAGACTATCAACATCAATTCTTACTCACATAATTTTTCTCTGATACGTTACACAATAATATGTCACTTCAATACCAAACAATGCTACCTTTAGTGCAAATAACCTTTTATGGCTAAATACAAACAATTTATATAATATCCATAGTTAGTTTAATGCTTACTTCTTTCTGATAACATCGTATAAACGACTGCGAACATCTATGTTTGCTGTCACCATAATCAAGGAGGTGAACCATATATAATGCTTTTCACGGCTTATATTCATGAAAAGTCAATCTGTTTTCTATTTTTCACTAGAAAAATGGTGATTTGACTTGTTTGACCTTGTATTATTAAAAAATAACCATATTACGCCAACTGCATGTTTACTTAGGTGGTGAGCACAAAATACGTCAAACTGCTTATAAATTGAAATAAATACTATCTTCCAATCACAAAGATTACGAGAAGTCACGTATGATGGAAAAAAGGCTGTTAATAGCTGATAAATAACGAAACATAAAATCCACGACAATATGTTACATGTGCGCGAAAACCCGTAAACTAACACACATAGTGTGCCGATTAGATCAGAGAATTCCGATATATTGGTCATCGCCAAATATACTCTTCCGATCTCCTCGACTCTGTCTTTTGATTTCTCTGGGTGGGAACGAAATACATTAGAAGGTGTTACTGGTAGAAGCGTTGTCAAACACTGAATACCTGTGACATCATCAAAAAAATGATCGTAAATTATTGATAATCACATTAATGCACGCCATGTTTTCTGGGTGATGTTGATTTTTCAAAGAAAAGGCAATGAATGTTATTGTAATGTGAATATAAATGCGAAGAAACAGGTATAAAAACATCAATTCTATGGAAAATATATTATAATAACTTTCTGATATAACAGCAGGATTTAAATATTTCCTGTTTCTGTGTTATACTACTATATTACAATAATCTGAGCGGTGATCGAGATTATACTACCACCAAATTGGATACTCGGTCGATACGCAATACACAGGCTGGATCACATTATACTTGATACACAACTAATAATAGACAGTTAAAGTACAGAGAAGACAATATTTCATTCAGCACGAATACATAGTGTACACTTAATAAGTTCGAATCAGAGATAGGAAATTACAAATCAGATAGTCATTAATATGTGTCTAAGAGTTTACACTCAGTGACGAATTACATCTATTTACGCTACCATAGATCATTTAAACAAATACTTTCACAGTAGTTGGGAACCAAGCGCATGGCTAAGATTGAAAAGGAACCTCAAAAATATAGTATACGCAATATGTAGTCACTAAAGCTAGTGATCACATTGTTACTTCACCAGACATGACGATGGGCATATCCACCTACAATTTAATTTTTTTCATTTCCAGGTCAGCTCGAGATATAAAACCGACAAAGTATATGATGAATAGAGTTATAGCTGTAAAAAGATCCCCGAAATCAATAACTCCGTAAGTCATAGACGTTGACGATGACCTCAATAATTTCACTGCACACGCCCATCCTTAAGGCACTTGTCCTTGCATCCGCACCAGACCACAAGTGGGTACGTCGTGCTATGCATCCCTTTCAACCACTCGCCGGCCTAGATCAGATGCCTCCCGACATGTCAGGTTTAAGATCTGTATAGTTAGAACAGAAGGTCAAAGACCTATATTATTCCTTTCCTCTTATGCTTATGCGAGTGTCTAGTCTTCTCCTGAATGAATCATTTGAAGGTGTGGACGCCACTGCTTTGAGTAACATGTTCCAATGACTGATGACTCGATCTGAAGCACTGTATGTCAAGGGTTGATTGTTGGTTCTTGGCTTTTCTACTCCCCCGCTATGTTCTTTGAGATGTCCCGATCTAGTGGAAAGAAGAAGAGATATGATAGGTGCAAAATGACTTCTTAGTGTTCTAAAAATTAAAATCAGATCACCTCTTAATCTGCGATAGGACAGAGCAAAGAGTTTTAGCATTTCAAGCCACACTTTGTATGGGAAATTCCGGAGTTCCAGAATTGCACAGTAAGCTGCCTTTTGTAATTTTTCCACAATATCCGAGTTACCTCTTAAACAGAAGCTTGCAGCCTGAACGAAGTTCTCAAGCTTAGTTCTCACCATGATTGTGTACACTGTAGTGAAATTGGCAGTATCTACCTTGATTATTATTCGTCTTAAAGCCTATAGGGTTCTAAACCTCTGAACTGGAGCCCTCCGGTATTGGTTCGTTGTCTTAAGATCGTAAATTACTGTCACCCTAAGATCCTTGAGTCCGAACCACGATCAAAAGCACTTCTCCTATGACTTACCTGTTCACCTTAGTATCACCAAAGTGCATGTAAACACATTTCGTCACGTTGATAGGTATAAGCTACTCTTAGGATCAGCTTATCACAATATTTAAGTCCGTCTGAAGTGGGCATTCATTTGGGTCTTCTGATATTTCTTGCCGGATCTTTACATCATTAGAGTATAGTAACATTGAGGAGTCAACTATGCTTGAGAGTCCATTTACATACAGTGTAAAGAGTGAAGGACCCAGGACAGAACCTTATGGTAATTCACCAAGTACTGGTGTCCAGGTGGAACCCTTGGAATTTATCTTCACTTCCTGCCTACTACCTACCAAGAAATCATTATGCCATTTTAAGAGAGACCCGACAATGCCTAGATTTTCCGGCTTCAATGACGGTCTAGTTGTCAGCACGTTATCAAATGCTTTGCTCAAGTCTATGAAGACCACTTCCACTGAATTCCCATTGTCTGGAGCATTCGTACGTTGCTCCCTTGCTATAAGGAGGTTTTTTTGCAAGATAAACTTTTTGTGAAACCATGTTGTTCGCCGTTTTGCAAGTTGTTGGTTTACACGGATGTCATCATGGTCCTTTTGACTATTCCTTCCAATATTTTAGCTCGACACCGGTGAGGCTGACAGATCTATAGTTCGGTGGAAGTTGTCTTGGTCCTGTTTTATGTACTGGAGTGACGATTACATCCTTTCAGTTCATAGGTAGCACACCTTGGACAAGTGACATATTGAATATCACAGTTACTGGGGCTGCGATATATTTTACAATTTGTCTTAGGATTTTAGGGGGTAGTTCATCCGCTCCTGTTGACTTTTGCGTGTCTAAGGTGCCAAGAGTCTTAAGTTCGTCGTCCTGATCACAGTTTAGGGTGAGCAGAAGTTTTGTTGCCTTTGTATTTGGGTTTAGTTTTTTTGGCTCCCGAGTGAAAACTGTCCGGAAATAGTTTACATAGCTTCTGCTTTTTCCTGATCACCTTCTGCCATTTCAGATCCACTTCCTTTCTTAATTAGTTTGGTAATCCATTACTGCATCCTTGTTCTGTAAGAGAATAATCTCTTAGGCTGCTTAATTAGACTGGGCCAACTGAGCTTCATATTCTCGCCCAGCTTCCTGAATTGCAACTAACTAACGACGTGCTAACTGCCACAACCACATTGCATACCAACTTGACATACCTCATGTTAGCACATGATAGGGAATTGACAAGAATAAAGATATAGGATGGAAAACTAATAATATCTATTTTACGGAAAGCTCAAACGTCAGAAGTATAAACTAAGTGGATAAGTGAGACGGAATCATCATGAAAATCAAGATAACAATATGCCCAACCAAAAGACCATCTTTAATCCAAGGGCTCAAACCTGGAATTATACACTGTTTGGCTTGAACGTTCATATCACCACAACACTAGTTGGACAAGTACAAATTCGAAAGCAGTTCAGTTTAAAATTTAATAAATTACATCATTGACCACTGAAAATCATACTTTCAGCTGATTCATTCTATTATGGGACTCAGTAGTGTGAATGCACTATCCAAGAGGAGGTATCTTTAAGTGTTGTAGCGAGAACTTAACCTTAAAACTACGAAGATGACGAAATTTGGAGGTTCTGACTTCGTGTATGTGCACTGGTAGGTGTTGTAGCGGTAAATAAATCCCCAAAATAAATAGTTCTGTAAGTCTTCGACATTGGATGCTGAATACATTAGTTTTAATGGACTCACCTAGCTGAAGACGTTCGGTCATGCACCAGATCATGAGTGGGAACGCCGTGCTCAACAACCCCTGTAATCGCTAGCCAGATTAGATCAGACGATCCTCGATATATTGACAGCTTATCAAATATATCTTCGAACCTCCTTGCTTCTGTCTTTTGATTTCACTTGATAGGTACGCTTCATAATAGGTGTTACTGGTTAAAGCGTTGTCAAACTCCGAATACCTGTGGCATTTTCAGTGTTATCTATACTAGGAAAAAACATATATCCAATGCTTCCTGGTTTCCAATTAGGAGATGATAAATAATGTTCTAACTATGAATAAACTAACAGCTTACGAATAAGTGTACCAGATCAAGTCGGCATCACCATTAAAGATGCCTCAGGAGTTCGGAATCTGACGTCTTTAAACGTAACACCTTTACAACCGAAGTATACCAACCTGGTCAGATCAAAGTTCCTGACTGAATGGGTTTGGAAATATATTCGGAAAGCTATTGATGTGTCGAGAAGTGTCTGATGTAAGCTGTTTAGTGGTTGCAAGGGATGCGTAGCACGACGTACTCACTCTTGGTCTGGTGCGGATGGGTAACCGAGCGCCTTCTGTGAGATGTGTTCATTTACACTAGTGAGATTAACATCAAATGTCAAGGACTTACGAAGTTATTGATTTTGCGGATTTATTTACCGCTGCATACTTATTGACAAGACTCAAGATTTATTACCTCTTAGTCGACTATCGAGTTCACTAGGATTGCTGCAACCGAGCAGCTGAATTATCCATGTTGATTCAGATTCAGATTTGTGTAGTAAGGACAGAAGACCTACGGCCTATGTTATTCTTTTTCTAGTATGCTTCTGTGAGTGTCCGGTCTTCTCTTGAAAGAGTCAATTGAAGGTGCGGACACCACTGCTTCAGGCAGCAGGTTCAAAGTATCGATGACTCGGTGTGAAAACCTGTATGCCACGGGTATTTTGTTCGTTCTTGGCTTTTCTACTCGCCTGCTATGTCCTCTGAGGTGTCCCGATCTAGTGGGAAGAAAGAGAGAGAATAAGTTAGGTCCGAAATCATTTCTCAGTATTCTGTACATCTAGATTAGATCTCCCCTTGGTCTGCGACAGGACAGAGTAAATAAGTCCAGATTTTCAAGCCGCTCTTTGTATGATAAACCTCGGAGTTCCGGAATTGCACGGGTAGCTGCCCTCTGTACTTTTTCTAGTATGTCCGAGTCAACTTTTAAACAGGGGCTTGCAGCCCGAGTGCAGTTCTCTAGCTTAGTTCTCACTAAGGATGTGTATAATGTGGTGAACATGGTAGTATCAAGCTTAGTGAATGTCCTTTTTAAAGCCCAGAGGGTTCGAAACCCCTTAACTGCGACCTCCCGGCAATGGGCCGTTGTCTTAAGATCATTACTCACTGCCACCCCTAGATCTTTATGAGACCGGACTATGGGTAATGACACATCCCCTATGTTGTACTTATTAACCTTTGAATCCCCCAAGTGCATGTAGACACACTTTTCCGCGTTGATAAGCATCAGCCACTCTTTAGACCAGTTTATCATATTATTTAAGTCTGTCTGAAGAGTAAATGCGTCTTTGTCTCCAGTTATTACTCGCCAAATGTTTACATCGTCAGCGTATAATAACATTGGAGACTGTACTATACTTGTAAGATCATTAACGTACATTATAAAAAGTAAAGGACCTAAGACGGAACCTTGGGGTACTCCACTAAGTACTGGTCTCCAGATGGAGCACTTGGAATTTATTCTTACTTTTTGTCTACGACCTACTAGGAAATCCTCAATCCATTTTAAAGGAGTTCCAGCAATACCAAGGTTTTCCAACTTCAATGGCAGTCTATTAGTTGGCACCATGTCAAAAGCCTTACTGAAATCTATGTAAACAATATGCACTGAGTTTCCGTTGTCTAGCGATAACGAATATATAGTATTTGTTGTGACATCAAGAACCGAGCGAATAGAAATTAGTTGGCTACACAAACTCGTCATAAATATCTTGTTTATTGAGTTTTGAAGGCGGCCGTCAGAAAAATGGTCGCTCCATTGGCTAACAGACGGTGTGTCACATTTGGTGGCTTGTGATATCAACTCTTATTTTCGTCTGCCGAATAGCTTTAATCTTGTTCTTGCATTACCTCCGGTTGTTATAGGTTGTCTTATCAAATGTAAGATTACATATGCTTACTATACAGTCGGCCACTTTCACCTGTTGTCTTCCAGATTGTCCCACACACTGCCATTCATACTTCACCAAGATACAACATACCTTCATGCTAGATCCAAACCTATTAAAGGCCGGACTTTATATTTATAAAAAACAATTAGTAGTATGTACCGTCAGACTATGCAATGGTGAGTTCTCGATCTTAAGATTGTATTTTGTACATACATAGTTACTCAAGGTAGTATACGACACATTGAATATTATCAAATATTCGGCTTTGGTGAGTGCTCCCAGTGTTATAAGCATGGTCTCCGGCCCAGTATTTGATAACTGGGCAGATTCTACTGTCAAACAAAAGTCGAGGTCTATCCACCATATTCGTATTCAAACTGACAGAAATATCGGAAAATTAATTCCTCATGACAGTAATCTAGAGAATATATGCTTATAGGTTCTTGTCTTTCCAAATATTTTTACGCTGTATCACAACGTACTGCCAATTGGACCATCAATAAAATGATTTGTTTTCACGGCACACTTCGGATAAAAAGATATGAGACGAATCCCTACTGATATAAATGTTGGAAACTAGTGCATCAGGATGAGCTTTGACGTCCATATAGTCATTTCCTTGTGTGCGAAATAGTCCTGTTAAATGTAGAATAATACAGGATTCTCTTTCCTTGAATGTAATCTAAATGATTTTCTTGCTTCTTAAATCCCTTTATTTCAAGAATTTTACGTTCATGATAGTCGGTACAACTAGTTTGCCGAGTGCTGTTTCATGTACTCAACTTTAAATCATAATTGTGGTGAGAACTTATGTTATCTGTATGGCCAAACCAGAGTAGGTGGGGCGAGCCTTAAACGTACTGCTCTATAGTCAAAAGCCAAATAGTTCTAAGCATTAACTGCAACTGCGCGTCAAGACTTTTTTATACTTAGTTCAAGAGTAAGGGCGGTGAGCTCTATAACTGCCTTAACAGTTTCGCTTAGGGATGAGTCACTTTAGCACTAATTTAATGGATTATGTCACCCCAATAAGGGGTATAAGAAGCTCATGTTAAAGTTCCCTATCTATAAAGTGGAGGGGATACTCCAGTACTTGAGAATTGGGCGTATGGCTCAGCACTGACTGTGCCGATACAAATCGAGACAACTTGAATCGGCGCATAATTATTTCAATTCTCTTCATTATATGTTTCAGGTTGAAAGCCAATGTAGTTATTGCAATTACTAAGTGCATACTATATAGTAATCTAATAAAATTTTTTATTTCAGTGCTTTGAATTATCTTAATAATCTAAGTTAAATACTAAAGAAATGGAACTTGATTCCTTGTGCGAACATTGGGATTCGACTTTGGATATTGACGAAGAAAATTCTGAAACTGTCGCTGAATCCGAACAGCATCCACGCCTTTCATTATATAAAAACAAAGGTCGAGCTATCGATCAGGAAAAACGTTGGCGTCAAAAACTCAGCATACTTAAGTCTAAAAAAGAACGATTAGATCATTTCGATCATAATCGCTTTTCTGTGAATAAAGAAGAGCCCTCAAAACACCCTTGGGCATCAACTGAAACAAAGTCAGAAATAAGAAGTTGGCGTCGTCACTCGAAACTTTTAATGCTAGCAGAGTGGTTTCTATTTATGCCTCCAAATTTTGGAGAGGAATATCGGATGAAAATTTGTCCTAAAGGGCGCCATGTATTTATCAAGGCTTCAAAAGTAAGAAATTAACGTTGGTGAACATGATTTAAATCACTGATTTTTGGCTACGTTTGCTTGGAATACTGCTGAATCTCATAAAAAGGGAATCCTCTTATTAAGAGATATTTTGGTATGCACTTTTCTATGCAAACGGTTTTCACGAATACTTGATAAATCAAAGCTTGTTGAAATTGATTTTACATTGGTGATAGATATTCCTCATCTATCTGGATGTAAAAAGTTAGGTTTTAACTCATGGAGCTGTGTCTTAGTGGTTAAAGCACTTGGTCCTCAATCAATAAGTTAAAGGTTCGAATCCCCCATCTACTGTGGTTTGGAAAGCTAAATAGTTTCACTACCCGCACACAAAGTATGGCTTATATCTGAGTACATAAATTTCTACTTGGTAAACCAGATAAAGTTTCCAATCTCAATATACGCTTAAATTTGTCTCGTCAATCATCTTGCCTTAGCAGTTCACAGATAGCCACATGTTATAATTTTTCAGTTGATAAAATTACCCTTTAATCTCTCTCTCTCTCTCTCTCTCTCTCTCTCTCTATATATATATATATATATATATATATATATATATATATATAATGATTATTGTTCTGTCTGCACTATTGGATTACTGATAAAAGTATTGATCTGTTAGTCACTAGAATAAAGGTTCGGACTTTGCTGCTTGTGACTTCAGTTAGTTATTAGTTCAGCATTCATCTTCAAACATGGTAGAAAGTAATGGATTAAATGTTGGTCAGGCGAACATGTACTTGGTTTATGAGTTTTATTTTATTAAATTCACCGCATTAGGCTCACGAAAGAAATCAAATAAATAATGTAAATGAATTTAATTGTATGATTTAAAATAGTAAAATAACTCTATGGTTGAAATTTCCACTGATTTACTCGATTACGATATTAGAGGTTTAATAATATAATATTTCTTTCTCAATGCTAGACAGTTGAAATAATACAAAAATGTTTCAGGATATTAATCAATCAACTTATTGGTCTATATGTACTGTGTTCACTGTGCGGGATATAGATCTTGGTTAAGCGACGATCAGATGTAAATTAAGGCAATATCGAGGCATACGCACAGTATTGCACATATGCCAATAAGAGACTGATCAATTTCAGTCCTAAAACATCAATGGGAAGATCCAAGTAAAACAATATCAAATGAATTAATTAACTCAACTGTTTGAAAGTCAGTTGGTCACACGATAAAGTATGGCTGTTCCCGAAAGTCATATTCTCCAGGTATTTAATATGTGAAATCAGCATGGATTGGTCTGCATTTGGTTAGATAATAGTTTCTTAAAATCATACCAAGGCTGAACACTGCTGGCTTTTTCTTTCTGTGTTAATGATTATTTAGTTCCAATTCACGACTAATTTAGATTGTATAGTTTGTTGTCTTAGATTAAACATATAAAACTGTATTTCATTTGCTTGTGGCACTAACTACGATTTAGTTAAAAGCAGACTCACTGAATACGATCGACATATTTTGTATTTTTTGGGGTCGTTTTTTCTTGATGTTATAGCATATCTGGACCAAAAATAACAAGGTTTGACCGTTCTGTTAAGTAACATATCTCTTTACAGTTAGTTTCATTTAAGGAAAACTCACATTCTACTTCACAGACCAGTTTTAGAGCATCTCATGATGTGTTTTTAGCAGTTTTCTTAGATGGCTTCATTGGCGATTTCCCAAACAGGTTATACGTTTCTCTAGGCAGTCATAGTCTGTTTGAATGGTTGCTATCAGAGAAAGAGATTTCGACTCGGCTGATTTCACCACATAGCGAGGATGTTTATGTTTCTCCTTGGGCTGCGACGTACAATTTGGTGGACAATGACCTTTATGTCCACGTCTATTGCACACCTGACATTTATGCTTCTTAGATGGACAGATTTGTACATAATGCCAATCACCACATAAACAACAAGCAGTCGTTGGTTTCTTACGAGTTGTTATCGGCTTCTGAACTTTTAACCTAGTAATAGCATTGATACTACTGCAAGTTAAATTAGGATTTACCTTTTCAATTAACTCATTGTCGTGTCTAATGCTTTGTAGTCTCTTACACTCATCTGTCAATGTCCTGAGTGTGACATTTGGATCTTGATCCAGTCGAGTCAAAAGTCTAGTCCTGATCTCAATATCTTCTGGTGACTGAAGTGCTTTGATTAATATTAAGCATTTAAATTAGTCTTCTGTCAGTGAGCGTATCTTGAACCGTTTACACTCTGTTGAGGACGTCTGCTAGAGCACCATATTCATCGGCTTCGCGTTTCACCAAATTTAGACGCTGATATCGAATACTAAACAATGAGGACGATTCATCGAGTATCTCTGACAATTGAGTTACCGTCTCCTCGAAACTGAGCTCTCGAGATAACTTTGGCAGTATATGGTCAGCATAACGTGCATATTCATTACTTCCCAACTTACGCACTAACAGTCAAGTCTTCCACGAGTTATATATATATATATATATATAATTTTTACATTGATTAATAGAGTAGAATTTTAAATTCTCTTAAAGGGAAAGACTACAGTATATACTAGAAATGGACGTCAACTGATATCCTCTGTTTCACGACTTCCAGGAGGTGGTTTAGGCCAAAGTGATAATCAGAACAGTTCATATACAACTTTATTAGATTGCATATTATACTGTCCGGAAAAGAATATGGATTTCACTAATTTCCAAACGGCAAATGAAACAAAGCAAGTGACTTTTGTCTTCTACGTAGTTGACATCATTTTTATGAGATCGACAGGCTATGCCAATCTACCTGTAAGTCTGTTGACGAATTTCATTAAAATGATACAACAGTATACTTTACATTATGTTTGTTTTTTATCCTTTTTTTAACTCAAAGAAAAATAACACTCTTAAGCTAAAGCTTTCTAATTAAATGTTTTTAGTCGTTTCTAGATTTGTTAATATTCTTGTTTTCATAATTTATCCCAATACTCATTACTTCATTTTAAACCCCAAGAAATCTGGTAGTGTACAGAAGGTTTTCCATCTGGTGATATGCACATTCTAGAATATTGTATGGAAATTCATCTCAGCGTGCATTTGTTCCAGGCATTACGTTGATTACGACTGACTAAACGTAGTAATAATCAAATATGGGTTATGAATTGCACTGAGCTGTCTACATTATTTGATCTGCGAATAACAAGTATGCATTTGTTTCTTAAATGAAGTCTTTGTATACATAATCTCAGTAATAAATGACTTATTTTGTACGAATAATAAACATACAGTGTTTGGTTTCCAATAGTTGTCTAGCTTAAATCACTCTGTGATTAAACTACGCGTTAAAAAAATATCTATAAAACTTTTGTCTTATTAAAAATTCGAGCTTAGCAGTCTTATTGATCAGTCATAATTTATAAAACACTTAAATTAAACTTGTTATTTCATACACAAAGAGAGCTCTCTTTAAGCATATTTTGGCGTACTTTATCAGCTTATAGAGTGAATAGATAGTCTTATCATATCTACGTAGCATGTGTCTTTGCTCGAACATATTAGTTTAATTACAAAATTCCTAGATTAAGTATCTAGTATTAATTTACTATATTGTATATGTACTAACTAATACTCTATTTTTACTCTTCAAGTTTTATGAACGATCCCAATGGTTAGAGAATTATCTCAAGCAACAAATAGAGGAGTATAAGGAAAGTGATCCCGTAAGTGGATTCATAAATTATGGTCATACTTCGTGTGCAATTTATCGAACTTAATTTTTAATAATAATGACACATATGAATATCATTTTGTCATAAGTAATAATATTTTTTATTTTCCTTACTACAACACCCGGTTACATTTTCTATGGTGATTATTGTGAAGTCATTGAATTAATATCATCTTTAACTAAGAATATTTATAAGAAAATTATTTGCATGATTAATAATAACTCTTGATGCCAATTAGTATTCGAATCCAATATGTATTTCATCGTTTAATATTAATTATCTGATAATGTTGTGTTGGATGAACATGCCATGTAGCATACTGTTTAGCTTGCAATAACATCCCTCCAACCATGGAAAAGCTATTTTAAGTAAAGTTCGATAACATGTATCTATTCAGATCATTTCAATCCAAAACATTTGAGTTTAATTTTCCTGATAAAACGTTTGAATGAAGTATCCTACCTAATGTCTAAATATGAATTTTTAATGAACAACTAAAAATTACGGATATTAATTTGATTAAAAAACAAAAAGCAGTTTCATATATGGTTCGCCTCCAAATGAACACGAAACCTTCTTCAACTCTGAAAGTGTCTTTTTCCTCGTTTTTCATTTTAAAAAATGCCTAAATAATTAATGTATATACAAGAGTGGAAAATATCGTTTAAGATTAGAATTTGAGAATCTTTAACATACTATGAAGACGTTCATTAAGTAAAATATATTCATGTCATTATCAAAAATATAAAATGTTTTTCCTTTCTTTAAAAACAGGTTGCTTTTCACATTCTGCCGTCATATGAATGTGATGTAGAATCAATGCAAGACGCATTCTCGTCAATCCCGTCATACGAGGTAGCTCAAAAATTCAATCATTTGTCACTCAGTTGTAATAGTGTATAGCTATAAATTTCTAAGTACCTTAGCATATGTATATATGATGTACAACACAGGATGTGTGTCTGTATGAGATGTACTTGCAAAGGATGGAACTATTTATCGATAAAATCACACAAGGTAAACAGTGTAATGTAGTGTTTATGACTTATAAGAATAAGCAGAGATGAATAGTGGCTAGCAGTAAAATCCAAAACGCATCTTTCATCTTATTTTGGACTTCTCAACCGGGTCTACCTGGATTCCAAAGTTGATGTCTATCCAGAGACTCGAACTCAGTACTGAATAGTCAGTTACAGTCCGAAACACTAATGGAAAGATCCAAACGACCAATACGAACAAAGTTTACAAAAATAGTACATTTACATTGGGATACTTGTCATTTGCAGTTCTTACAAAAGAAAAATTAATAATTCTAACAGAAACAAACAAATGTCAAAGGCTTGGGGACGATAAAATAGTCTCTTCTCATATATTGTACGTTTTGTAGTAAAAATGTAATGATGATAAAGTAATGTTGATTTTCGCTGGCACAACACGTACGGCAGTTTGTAAATATTAAACTTACAAAATCCTATTTATCGCTAACCAGGTGTTAGTTTTATGTCACAGAGTAATTAATTGATGCATTGAAAAGTGTTATATCGTACCGTGTTTGAAGAGCTAAGCATTCAGAACTATCATATGTGAAATCAGTGTCCATATTTTTATTTTGTAATTAAAAAATACTTAGCTTATTGTATTTTATATTCCCTGTTATGTACTTTCCCAAAGGACATACAAACTTGCTAGATGTTTTACCTTTACCCGTTATGGGCGGCCAAAACAAAACGTGGCATTAGTGCTTGAAGTCACTAACTTCTAGTCTGAGCCATGTTAGTAGATGCAGACTACTTGGTTGGGGTCCGCGTGACTATCAAGACCAATGGTTGGAGACTGGGTGACATTGCTCAGAATCGATCAAAGTGGCGTAGGTGTATACACTCCCTGGCTCCCCTTAAACTATGAGATTAAAATCGCTTCATATCTTTCTACGAACGAATTTGTCCTTCCTGTATTATATCCTTGTATGCAATCTTCCTTTTATATATTACCATCATTGAAGTGACTACTTATATGAATTTGGTGTTCATCTTGTTGTGCTAATGAGGTGTGGCAACTTGGACCGATGCATATATATGCCTGGTCTTATGTTGTAGCTGACTGAAATGTTCCACCTCCTCCAAGTTATTGTTGATTTGATACGAACTTATTGCTCACTTTTACTTCACTCATAACGTAGTATTGTACACATTACAAATTCCTATCTATGTTGCTGTGTGACCCGGTATTCAATATATATTATTATATGAGTTTCTAAATCATGTTGGATAGAGCAAAAACTCTGCATCAGAAGTCTTATCTCCGTGTTACTCCCGTCTTCTGGTTAGCTGGTAGGATAAATAGAGGCTGCACCAATGGGCGTTAGTTACCGATATCAATCATTATCTCACAATCATTGAGTGACTAGTCAGATGAAGGTTATCGGTCCTATGAAAAAGTAAACGCGGTAACCAGTAAGACGGGAACAACAATCAAGACAAAAATTTCGTTTTTTGGCGACCCTTCAAAAGGCGTATAATATGTACCAAACGAAAATTCAATGAGCCAACGTGTGAGATGAATACTCTTCAAGTTGAATCACAAAAGAACACACCACAAGTTTCCTATTTTCCCTTCGTAACAGTCTACGGCTTCTGTCTTACATTTATTTCGATACGTGTGTTTATTTTGCTCAAATGACTTCCATTTTCCATTAGTCTACTAAAGATGTCAGCCTCTTAATCGTAGGTTCTACACTTTTTACAACATCTCGTGTATTACGCTTAAGTTTACGCGTAAAGCATATTCTACTGGTAATTAAACACTCATTGTGTTGAATAAAGCTACAGACTTCGTTCCTTTCCGTTCAGTTAAGTATATATTCAATATCAGGAGTATGTCCCACTAATAAACCCATTTTCAAATTACAATAACTATTGGATTTAAACACGCGGGTTGGTTTCATTAAGTTGTACTTTGTCCATTCTTCTAAGCTCAATGTTAGTAACTAGAATTGAATATGCACTTAGTTATTTCTCACATTTAAAAATCTTTGTTAATACCTAAAATCTTGAATGACATGAAAATGGAGTGATAAATTAATGGTCAGAGGACTTGACTTTTGGTTATTGGATCACATGTTCAGACTTCATCTAATTCAGTCTATTAAATCGGATAATATTACTAACACTCCATGCGACAAACTTGTACAGCTTTGGAGCTCTTAAAGTATCAGTTACATATTTGACGGCTAAATCAGTCATCCTGATTTGATTGGTTCACTGTTACTAAATCCATTTTTGTGTACATTTCACCTTTTTTTATGTAGATTACCGACTAAGTATTCTGGCACAATTCGCTTACACTTCATGTTCTCATTCTGTTCATGAATATGCGATTATCGTAGAAGTTTAAATGAAAGTATTCGTCATTGCAAATGATACAGTGATAAGGTGTAAATTAACATTGCAATAAGTATAAATAAATCGATTTTTAACTTCCAACCATAATTTTATTAGAACTGATAATCGAATACAATGTAATGTCTTCTATATTTTTGCATTTAATGTTCCCGTATTGTTTGTTCACAGATTGATGGTGTTCTATTTTACCACAAAGATGTTAATTACGAACCTGGAGCAACTCCTCTTGTTAGCTGGTTGAAACCATATATGTTACCGGAATGGTTTCCCGATATCAATTATCATTCAGATTTCATGAAAGATATTCCTGACGATTATACTGACTATATTAATGGAATACAACAATATGAAGCTAAAATGTCTTCGAAATAATTACATTCCGTCATCCAGCAGACAATTCCTGAATAGATCCACGTAGTAACTTGCCATCACTCTTAAGAGGGGAATTCCACTGATTGGCTTTTCTGCATAAGGATCATTGTAGTACCTTGTTGCTTCGTGGTTTTTTTTACTTACATGAAAACAACTATTACATATTGAAACCTTTCATACTCACATAGCCAAGTGTACTTTTTCTCTAGATTATCCGTACAATAATTTCCCTTCTTCACTAATCAGACAGTGTGAATTAACAAATACCCTGGGTTTGTTGAGCAAGGCCAACCGTTAATAAGGTTTTGTAATGCACACATAGTTGCACATAATTGTATAAAAAAACTCAAATGTAACTGGATCCATAAATACACAAGCTTCATCTGTTACCTTGTCTCAAATATCTTATTTCGATAAATTTAGTGCCAACGATCACCTTTTTTCAAGCGTAACATCAGCTTATGCACGTACTAAGGACGTTATATCAAAATGCCGCAAAATCTAGTTTTATTCACTGAGCAAATTATGGTTTGTTTAACCATGGGAATGGGACATAACTCTAATCACACATGTAATTCTGGCGATCAGTGTACTCTTGTTTGCAGCCTTTTCCCTGACTTCTAACGAAGTCAACTGCGTCAAGAAAACAGTCGATATCACTAAGATTTCGGTGCATCGTGCTCATGCTCGGATGATTCAATACTCACTACTTATTATCTCAGATTATCACGTCACGTTCGTGAAACATTCTATAACATCGTATACTCGGTATGTGTTCAGTGTTATATTAATCTGTACAAATACTTGAACTATGATGTTGAATTAGAACGAATAACAGTTTTCTTTCAAAGCATCAACGTACATCCTTTAGTAGCGAAATATTTTCTCAACACGTAACGTTGGATATATCAAGTAACCAAATACGAACATAGCATAAACTGCGATTAACAATATTAGACGTCAGGTCACTAAGTGCTATCATCCCGCTTTTGGAGGACTTTAGCACCTTAAACCGTACGCTCGACTATGTCGAATTATTGTGGCTAGGGACATGTCAATGCAACAATTGACCATTTTAAATTTGGGTATATAGCACTACAAGGCCATTCATTTGTTGATTACGTAATACACGAATGAATGCGCTCCATGAAGAATGTGCACTTACTGTTAGTGGATAAGGTACGGTTATTGTGATTCAATAATTCTGATTCGACCAAACGCGGTTGCAGAAACCCATCCAGTCACTAGTGGATCCCCAATGCCATCCTTTTTGAACCTAAGGTGCGATGCATCTATTGGACTTTTCCACTAAGATATATACTGGAGAAAGACTGACACGTTCGTGACTTATATGTCCAACTCGAAACTGAGTACTAATGCATAACTTCCTATCGGGATCTTTAATCCTAAGAAAGTGATATTACTTCTGTAACTCAAGAGAAGTTAGGTCGTTACATGTGACCTTTTGTTATTATTTAAACGCATAAACATTGGTACAAGGAGGCGCCACATAAACCACTCCATATGTGTGAGGACTAGGATACTCCTTAGGTGCCCAAAGCAGGTAGCTTTCTTAAGAACCTTTAACTTAAAAGTCTAATCCATAAGTCAGTGTAGCAAATTTGAGAGATGCATTCTCGATAGATTCAGACGCTATTAGTTTTCTTAGGAGCTCATGTGCACTAATGTTTTGGAATCAGGTTTTTCCAACTTCTGTAAGTGGATCTTCTATATCAACCGACCCGGTTAAAGCGCCGGTTTGTTCTATTTTTGTCCTCTCAATTTTGTAAACATCCCCGCCGCGAAAGGGCAGTAAGTAGGACCTCGCTAGCAGTGCGGACTAATGATTACTTTAAATTCAAAATCAGCGGACAACTAATCTTAGACATAAAGTATTAAGCAAAAGTAAACGTTTCAACGACAACTTTTATTTTTCATGGTTTATTCTGTAATTTTGCAATAGAGGTTGTTCATTGAAGAACATGAACGTTTAATAAATCTTTTGAAATAAGGATACATCAGATTATATTGACAAACTTGGCAATAGCTTTATTGTTGTGGGCATTCTTGATTTTCTCCGGTTTTCTGATTGGGTTTTGGTCGGTTGGGGGCACGATGATGCCGTCCACGACATGACTGTAGATGAAAAATGAATCAAGTTGTAATAAAACGTGATACAGAGCAGTCGGTTTTTAAGATATGAAATGATAGGCAAGAATATAAAAAATTCATCTTTTGATTAATATTGAGAAGGTACAATCAAAGTTAAAATAAGGCTATGAATTTGCTTTGATTGCTATAAATATTATTTAGTTGTGAATGTTAGCAATTAAAATACCTTAGAGTTCGGATTAGTTAGTTTTTTTAGTCATAAACGGTCATGAATTTAATAAAGCTAATGTGGTACCAGTGATAATTTAAAAACCATTAGTAACACTCAGTTAATATGAATAGTCACTTCTTCACTTTAAATACTTAGTGATAACAGTTTTAATTAAGTGTAGCTTATAAGGTGGTATTTAATAAGATACGGGTAAACGTAACCCGTCTAATCAAGTCGATCGCGTCACTGTCTTAAGGGAATACATTAACAAGAGTAGCCAAAGATGGATAATAACTTCGGTGACATTAGGTCGCCGATCACTTTAAGCAAGAAAGCCTGCTAAACGAAGTACGATTCCAACCAGGCATCATTAGGTGTTGTGCGTTTTACCGAGAACGGGAGCTTGATTTCGTTTAGTAGGGTGTTTAGTTAATAGCCGAAACATTTGTGCATGGACATGAAATCATGTTATGAATAAAATAATTTAACAAGAGTATTTGTAAATTGGGAGGATAGAATTTCTGGGCAATAGGACAGTATCAATAAGTAACCCCTTGTACGACTACTTGGTAATTCATCAACACATTACCTTTCTTACTAAGATCCCCTTAATTTGATGTTGCTGTTCAGAGGCGAATCCTGACAACTTGAATTAATAACTGTTTAGGAGAAATTACGATGATTAAGGTAAATTAAATGGTATTTGTTGGCAATCGAAACCCACTAGTTACGGTTTAAAAACTTCACAGTCGGAAAGTAATTAATTAACAAACAGTATGTGGAAAACTTTGGTTGAATATCATAATAACAACATAAAATAAAATTAAAGGCTTACGTGAGAATTCTCCTTTTCATTCTAAAAAACAATAAGAAAAACAAACTTATTAATGCATGAGTATTTAATTAAGGTAACGATAAAGTATATATATGTATATATGGGAATTGACACTCGTGCCTGCACTGATTCATATCTTACTGTAACTTCATTTGACGAATTTATGACTGACGTCGATATATAGTGTTAATTGCTTACAGTAAAAGTCGACAGAGATTGACGTTTTGTTATTTCGTAAAGAGTAATGAAAGAACTTACTTCTTCCTCTTTTTCGTCGTCATCATCTTCACTTAAATCTTCATCATCTAGATCGTCATCGTCATCATCAAACTAAAGAAATATTTTATTTTAAAGTGAGTTACTTCGGAATCTACTGCCTCACCAGTGAAGTAAAGTACTGCTCTCGGGATAACGCTTTCCCTCAAAAACTGACCAAGCTTGAAGTCGGACTCCAAAAGCATTTCAGTATCCTCATCCTGGAAAAATTACCACAAACCATAATGAACTCACCAGATCATCGGAGAGAGCTAAAATACATGTTAGAAGTGAAAATCTACGTACTTTCTGCAGGAGGCTCAAAAAAATTGAAAAAGGAATCTTCTCGAACACTTTTCGTCACAGTCCGTTTAGCGCCTCCGCTTTTTCGTTTCTGAACCTTTTTAACCAGTTTCACTGTAACATTTTTACCCGGATGCCAATTAATAACACAACTATTCCATACAGTAAAATTTCATGATAATTACCCTTTGGTGCGAACAATTTCAGGTCCTTCATACCCAAAAGGATCCTCACTAGGTATGTCGTAGTTGAAATAATACCTTTTAGTTAATACACTGTTAGTGAAGTATTTATTTGATGAAAAGTAAAATTCCAGTGTAAAGCCCTGAAGCATTAAAAAATTGTAGTCAACATACTGCTTCCTCCCCTGTATTGAGAACACATTTAATATCTATTAGATGTTTTAAAATATCACGATCATGATCTTGCACCATCTCATCAAATAGTGAAATGTTCTCTAGAGTTTTGAGCCAGAAGTCTGGGACACCTTTAACGTCAGTCTGACAATCTGCAGACATTCACTAAAAACACCATAATTACCTTTATTACTGGTGTCTTTAGTGACATTGGCTGTGCTCTTTAATCTTTCTGATAAATTGTCTAGAGATATGTCGTCATCGTCCGTAGGCCAATCGCAGTCTTCATCCGTCGGTTCTATACCACCCAATACAATATCTCGCCTCTACAACGTATGTAAAAAACTAAAACAACGCACTTTCGAGAATATTTGCTGGTGTTGTACATCATACTTAACTTCTAGTGCAAAAAGCTCTTTGTAAAACTCGGAGTCTATCTTCAGGGTCTCATATTGCAACTTTTTAAGAGCCCGAACCCGTCGTTTAATTGGACCAGGCAAACTGATAATTATAAAACAGGAACTGAACTCACAGATGATATTCATGCAAGGCACTTAATTTAGGATTTTCACACTTTGATTCGTGAAGTTCTCCGGAGTCTGAAAATTCACCACCTGGTTGATGTAACTCCCACAGGTTTTATGTCTAACACTTACCTTCCTCTGAACTTCTACAATAAAAACATAATGAAGCAATACACAACGAACCCTTTGCTGTTATCCATGTCAATATAGTGGCGTGGTTCGATAAGTTAAGAAACTACCGCCTAACTATTTTAACACCATTCAATCCTCAATTATAGTTATACAGAAATATCCAATCTAGAGTACGACTTAAAAATTGACATGACAGCATATATGCGGTTCATTACTACTATTTCTGAATAAATTTCTGCCCTCACCTATTTTTATTTGTGGTTGGGAGCAGGGAAAAATCTAGAGATAATACATTCTTGGGTCTAATATGAAGCTACTTAAATGAACGTGAAATGAACTGCGCAAATTCCATGTGCTTCCTTAGCCAGTGATCAGAACTAGGAGTGCAGATAGATTAGCAGATCGGAAGTAATCACCGCGACACTAATGAGATTGAATCAGTATTTAGAACCTTGTTTTGAAAACCTAGCATTATTAAGAGCTAGGGAAACTCAGAAGCATAAAGTAGGAGAGGCTTTAACTATCAAAAGTAATGGCGACCGTGGTGTTGCCGATGAGGCATCTTATAAAAATAGTGTGTTATGTTATAACTCGCGTTTTAAAATGGGGATTTTGTACTTATTGTGAGTTAACTGTGATTTTGTGTATTTACTCTGTCAAAAAGGTACTCACTCTACTCTGTCTTGAATTGCTTGTCTACGTTTCAAAGCTATCCTTAAATTCTTTTATTTAATCTTCATGATCATCACATGTATTTTTGTCAACCCTCCCCTTAAATCAGTTTAATGCGGTTGGTTGCATTGATAGACGTAAACAGCCGAATTGTCCTGACGACATGCATCATAAAATCATGAAAATCCTGACGGGCGCAATTAATGAACTCTTAGCAATACTGTTTGATATTTCTTTGATTCAGTCTAAACTGTCATGAGGCTGAGAAGATGCCAATATCAGTCCGGTTCATATGTTAGGTGGTGGAGACCTATTTAGTAACTATCGACCTGCTAGTCTAATCAGTGTAGCTGTCAAACTAATTGGAAAGACTTTTCAGATGTCCATTCTAAACCATTTGGAAGTGGAATATCCTTTAGCTATGGAATGAGATGGTCTTACAGAAGACGTTTCACGCTTGACAAATCTTATTGGAAGAGAAATTGTATTGCAGAAAGACAGTAATACGCCGGCAGATGTAAACTTCACAGATCTAATTAAAGCCTTTTACAAGGACTCTCACCTTAATCGTAAGTAAAACCTGCAATTTTTCGAGATTTATTATGATAACATAAACCAGATAGGTGATTTTCTCAATTATACAAGACAACGGGCACGATTAAAAATGACTTTATGAACCTGAGATTCTTTTAAAAGTCGATTTTCCCAAGGTACTATAATTGTGTCGAGTCGCAGTTGACCATGAACATCAATACAGATCGATTACATGCCAATTATCAAGTTAAATCCCTCCTTAGGACAAATATTAGAAGGCAGTTTTGGATTGTAATTAATATGTACTTGTTGTCGATGTCGTGATATCGAAATAATACCGAGATCGTTTCATAGTTTACAGGCAGAGACTGCCGTGCGTACGTGAACGTGTTCAAGGTCACAAACAACGGAAAAGTATGTGTTTTGGAACAATTAAACAAAAAGGCACAATAAAACAATCATTGGTAATGTTGGCTATAATAATATGTATTTCCATTACACCAATCGCGTTTTCTTCATAAAGTAGGTCACTACAGTATAATTATCGGCTCCCTCCTTTCTTATTGTATGTAGATGACTCGCGGAATGAAGGAAAGTTGTCTTTTCCACTTTTGAAATATGACATCAAGATTTGCGGAACATTATAACGTATGTCGGATAAGATAGTATTAAAGGATGACTCAAATTAATAAGTCAAATGAATGTTTTGATGGTCATTCGAGATTAATTCTAGCAAGGGAGCAGTGATACAAACAAATAACTGAGACGATCCATATTACTACACATTAGCTGAAATCGTGTTGCCTGAAGTAATGAGCTAATAGGATCTAAGCAACGAACTTAAAAATATGACTACCTATAAAGCTGGAGCTGCCAAAGGTTTCAGGATCTTATGTGCTACTCGTAAGTCATTTCGTTACTTGAAAGAAGAAACATTCAGAGTAATACACTAAAGTTTTATGGGGCCTTATTTAGAATATAGGATTCAAGAAACGAGTCCTTATCTCAATTGTGAGTTGGATGAGACTGAACAAGTTCATCGATGAGGGACCAAAACGGTAATACATCTCTCTGGCCTACTGCATGAAGACATAATGAAAGGCTTCAACCTATTTCTGTTATCTTACTGCGTGTCAAGGGGTGATCTATTACTGGCTTATAGTATACTGAACGATGATCTTACTATTAACATTTCTTACTCCTTACCCCATATAGTAATGACCATCCGAGAGGAAATTATATGAAAGTTCGAAAACCAACACCGAATCTTTTACGTCTGTAGTTCCATTCCTCGCACTAAGAAAAATATTGCTAGAATTTTCTACCAGATGATGTAATATCAGCACTTCTGTAGAATTATGGTCTACTTCGTTATTAGTACTGTTCTAATAGACCTACACCAAAGATTGTAGATTTGCCATGATGTGAAAACCTAATCTATAATCCTTACGTGGAGGTCACATAATTGTCTTCACTGCCCCGTCCTATCATAACATCACCAATATATGATGGAGGACACCTTTAGGTTGAAGAAAGAACATTGTATTTGATATGAATGGAAGAGATAAGTTACACAAGAATAACCACGCCTGAAAGGCTGGGCCATGCCGTCCGATGAATGAATTAAATTTCGAATCAATGTTCCCGCGTTGACCATTATTGACCTCTTAGAGTTACACGTTTAAAGTCTGTTCTCCCAGTTATCTCATGTTTAGCTTCGAGGATCTAATGACACTAAATCTCCATTTGAAACATTCAAAGTGTGATTGGATCCTCGCAGTGCTTCGAAATGCAGGGATTAATATAAGTCAGCAGAGCTCCTGTCCTTGCTAATAAAGACTGATGACTGAAATAACTATCTGTCGCCTAGATTGTAAAGAACGAGGGAAAACTAGTTGATTTTGTATTAAGCAGTTCATACTGGCTTTTGGCTAGATTGCGAAGACTTACATACCTCACAAGAATCATGTAATACAGTAGACAGCTTGGATACAGCTAAATGATTTTGGCTTGATAGATGACCTAACTCTGCTATTCACACATCGAAATAAATGCATAAAAATAATAAATTTTTTTTCACATCCGAATGAGTAGAAAATTTGTATTTGTGATGTTTTGTGACTTAATGTAAGCCCCTTCTTCGGAGTAAATGAATAACCAAGTTCGGTTATTAACTTTCTATCCACTGCTCAATTCTGGCATTCACACTTATAAATGCAGACGAAGTTTGCCAGTGTAGCAGTGGCTTTCTTACCAGTAGACTTTAACATCCACAAAGGAAAAAGCAAGATCTTGAACTACAACACAGTAATCAACCAAATGATACTTGACATCGACGCTCTGGGAGAGGGGGAACTCTCTATGTGCCTGGACAACCTTGTACTAAAGAAGAAAGTTCTGATGGAGATATGAAGGCACGAATAGGAAAATCATGGTTCGGTGTTTGTATAAATTATCGTTCTTTTATACTTGATTGCCCGCTTATTTCGAATTCAAAATATAACACGTCCATTGATGCTCACCTATTCCTGTCTGAATTTTCACTATTTTGAGAATTCCTAGTTGTTACGATAATTAGAGTATTTCTAATAGACATTTTGACGTCGCTATAGAGCCTGCGATTGAACGGTTGAATAAAAATTCCGTTTCTGAAGTTTTTGAAGATTACATGGAAAGGTTTGAAGTCTGGAGTATGATCAGGAAAGGTGTTAAGAATGATTAAATTGTGGCTCATCTCTTCACACTTATCGGATAGGTTATCCACAGTCTATTTCGCTCCTTTGCGCAACTCTGGAGGAACTAGTACTAGACCATATAAAGTGTACAAACTTCGAATGTCGTGTAGGAGGAAAATTTCGTAAAACGATTCGTCAAGATATCAAAGATCCTACTACGTCACTATGTCATCTCCATCCAATCCGTACTCAAGGTTATGCAGATAACAACTCATTGAGGAGTTGCGAAGCGGGTCACGAAGATGAGCACAAGTTTGATATATGTTTGTCTTGTGGCAAATCCTATTCACAATGCTAAGTTCTTTAAATGTGATAATTAGAAGTAATTGAATTATTATACGAACCAGGAATCCCCAAACGGACGTATCGTCTTTGGAATTCCAAATCAGGTAGTCGTCAAGTACATAGGAATCATTAGTTCATACAAACACCACAACCGCCACAACTGAAATTAGAAGCTAAGTTTCCATAATCGGTTGTACGTCCTATCCTTAGATTCATTGTATGTCTGTTAGACTGTGTATTGGATACAGACTCTGTATCATCTAGAATATACTCACTGAAAATGGAACGGACCCACCTGGTTCTTGGAATTGTATCTGACCGACATTTTGATTGTAAGTACACAAATCTTCGATATCTAGAATTCGCACCATACATGAACAACATTTCTGCTACAATGCCCACGACTTCTATCAATGGGGACCAAAAAAACTGTCACTCAAAACCAAATTCAGAGTTTTCAATACAAATGGTAAAACAGGCCTACTGTACGAAACAGAAACTTGAAGAACTGCCATAACCAACTGACTAGAAGAGTTGTAGTGTCAGTTATTGTGCCAAGCCCACATACCTTATTCTAGCTTCCGGACATCCCATTTTATTCATTTTACTTGAGCTATACTTTGACCTTGTTATTTATTCGCTTATCAATCTAGACTGTTTTTATATGAGCGTATATGTGTGTGCCCTTCTTATCCTATTAATCACCTGTCTATAGCTTTATTTTGTCTGACTATAAATATTGAGTAACGCTTGACTTAAATGGAGTTGGCTTCCCAGCCATCTTCCATACGTGTCATTTTGCTTTGCTATGCTTCATTCGCTTCATGTACGAAATATATGTATTCTCAAGTCAATTCTCGTTATTCGACTTATTTAATTCCGTTATTGGATAACGCGATTTTAGACGACGATGACATACG